ATATTTGAATATTCGGAATTACACTCATGATGGTGGGGCCCATGCGGCTAAAATATTTGCAATTTGCATACATGTTGTTCAAAAAAACAATTGATGGTTGTGCGACAGTCCGTCATTTTCTTTGGTATAATTTTTATGAACCAATTTTATTGTTATAAAAGTGCGCAAGGTAATGGTTCATAAAAATACATACTTTTGATTTCTTTGCTCGAAGACGAGACGAGATACGAAAACAACTCAATAGTCAAGAAAGTTGTACAGGATGAACGATAGAGAAAAGTTCATCATCTCATTGATTTTACAAGTTATGCGAAAATGGCAAATGCAAATGGCGTGATTTGTTTTTTAATTGCTTTTATCGTTTATTAGTTTGAAGCAAACATGTTTTTTTGAGTGGAACATCGTGTGCAAATCATTTAAGCTTTTCAAAAATATATATTAGTATAAGGTTTTTTTGAAAATTAAGCTCAATATTATTTTTTTTTTAATTTTTTACTTTATTTGTAGCAGTAGGCCATAGTAATTTAACTAAATCAACTAAAAATAAGGTACCCCTAAGTAGTTATTACTATAGAAGAGACTCTTTACTTAATTTCGAAAATATATTTTTCAAAAATAATAATATTTTTTCTTAATATGATAAATATTATGTTTTTATAATGGTGAGTAGCAAATGTGTCAAAAAATTACGAGACTGTCAGTCTTTAATTATAATTTATGTTTTCTGTGTTTATTACATTTTAATTAATTTTCTATTATTATTAGAAAATTCTGAAAAATATGATATGTTGATATGTTTAATGCAATGCAACGAAAATGAGGTGAGGTTTTTATCAGTCAGTATAATGCAAAATAATAAATTGATTTCACTTTCGTAACTGTACGAAAGAGACTAATTTTTTTTTTAATAATTGTTTACTCGGATACTGTTTTTAATAAATCAATCACGGACTACTGCTACAAATAAAATAAAATATGAAAAAAAATTGAGTTTAATTTTTAAAACAAGTTTATTTCCGAAAAGCTGGTGTTCTATTAAAAAATATATATGTTTGCTTCATATAGTATTGGATTTTACCCGGTATCTCAAAAACTAAGAGAGCCAGAATAATTTTAGGGATGCCATCTTTAGTTTCACAAAAGAGTAGCACAATATCGCGTAAACAGCAATTTGCTTTCCGAGATGCCCCATGAGAGTGACCGAAATGGGAAACCCACCCGGTATGGTGTTTTCAAAAAAGGAGTTATTATAATATCTTAATTATTGCTTGTGTCTCTAGTAATGTCTTTCGACCACAGAATAGGGTTTGAGGCACCCGTTATTTTTCTTTTTCCTTTCTATACGCGTTCTTCAATTTTCCTTGCGCATCTCGTATTCTTCCATCGGCTTCCTAGTCATATATTAATCGGCCAACTAGATTCATTTGATTTGTTGTAGAACGTTCATGGGACCTGAAAAAGCGCAAAAATAAAACTCCGGCGTCCCCGTAACACCCGAAACGCTGTCGTTTGTCTTTCTTCGTTCTAGATTTATATTAACAGCGCTAATTTAAAACGAGAATTATTTATTTTATCGTTTATGTGCGAATAAAACGTTTTGCGGAAGGAGCGTCGAAAGAATCCGTCCAGGTCAAACGGGTCCGCAAAGTAGGTTAGGAAGGGCAAGGATGCACGTCGCATAAAAATGCGACTTCGTGCGTGATCCCAATTTATTGACCCGGCGAACATTTTTACGTTCGGCAAGTGTGCAAAGGAACTGGCCAACCTGTCGGCCACGCGCGCCGACCTCGGCGTTATTTTCGGAGCGACCAGTGACTTAAGTTGTCTACAGCGTTGCCAGGTATCCTAGTTTAGCGTTATACCGACCCCGTGATTAACTTTTGCCTACTGGTTATTACTCGAAAACCACACGTGCCAGGACCGTAATAGGAATTTATCTACCTACACTAACAAGCAGGATATAAGAATGTTTTCAATCTTTTCGAAAATACCCCGCAGCATCAAAGCTTAATCAAACTTAAAACGGTTCATTTACGTTTCAAATAAAAATATCAAGTTTCTGCAACATCTGCTGGGATGGGTTTTACCACGGTCCTGCAAAGGTCTGCGGTTAAGCTGGTGAACAATGTGTGGAATTGGAATTTGATTCTGTATAATTTAGGCTTCCCGAATTCAAAATCTGATACGCATTTTCCTCCAAAAACCGAATTCAAAAATCTTAATTAAATAACAAGGTCTCAAACAATAGTTAAATCGATTTATTCTTGGAAGGTCTCCCTTTTTTCGTCTAGTGGATTTACTGGTATAGTCAATGGCCTCTTTAATGTAAGTTACCATCATTGGAACTTTTTATCCACCCTGATATCTGATAACCTTCCACCTTGCTGCAAGACGATGTTCCGGCGAAATTTAATAATTCGTTACTTCTAGTTTTGAGACATAATAAGTTTCAAGTATTCGCTTTATTATTGGGTTGTTTGGAAAGTCATTTCGTTTTTTTTGGGGAACATGAAAGACAGTTTTCGTATAACGAATAAATATTTTATTAAATTATATATTGGCCATTCTGGTCCAAGACCTTTTACAATCTTTCTGGCAGTAACATAATTCCCCTCTCATAAAAGTTTTGGTCCTTGCTGGCAAAAAACTGGTTCAGGTGGTTTTTGACATCTTCATTTGAGGTAAAGGTTTTGCCATCCAAAAAATTTTGCAGGGACCGGAACAAATAGTAGTCGGAAGGCGCCAGATCTGGAGAATATGGTGGATGTTGCGGTACGTCCCATTCAAGCTGTAAAAGTTTTTGGCGAGTGACCAAACTTGTGTGAGGTCTCGCATTAGCCTGGTGGAACACTACACCCTTCCTGTTGATTAATTCGGGCCTCTTCTCTTTAAGTGAATCATTCAATTTGTTCAGTTGATGACAATAGACTTCTGAATTAATCGTTGTATTGTCCGGCAAAAGCTCAAAAAAAACGATTCCTTTGACATCCCACCAAACGGAGAGCATCACCTTTTTTTGGTGAATGTTGGCTTTTGACACGCTTTGAGCCGGTTCATCTTTTCTGCTCCATGACCTCTTGCGTTTAACATTGTTGTATACAACCCAGTTTTCGTCCCCAGTAATAATCCGCTTCAAAAATGAATCATTTTCTTGACGTTTGAGGAGCGAATCACACAAGTCAACGCGACGACACAAATTTCGCTCCGTAAGGACATGGGGCACCCACACAACGAGCTTCGAGGTTAAGCCCATGCCTTTCAAATGGCCATAAACAATCGAATTCGACAAATTTAATCTCTCGTGTGGTTATTCGCCGATTTGCATCAACTAATGCCTTTATCGCATCTTTGTCAGCTTCGACCGGCCTTCCAGACCGTGGTGCATCTTCGACATCAAAATTGCCGGATCGAAATTTTGCAAACCAGTTCTGGCGCTGGCGTACTGTTGACACGCCTTCTCCATACACATCCGTCAATTTTTTTCTCGCTTGGACAGCATTTTTACCTTTTCTGAAGTAAAAAAGTAAAATATGACGAAAATGCTGCTTATTGCTCTCCATGTTTAAAAGGGCACCAACCAAAAACTACTGCGTAGAATTAATAGAACTTTTTCACACACAAGCCTTGCAATATCAGCTCTCAAGACATATAATGGTTATGCGGCTTAAGTGTGAAGTTGGTTTCGAAAAAACGTAATTAAGTCCTCTGACGGGAAAAAACGAAATGACTTTCCGAACAACCTTATACTATCCATACAAAAGTTAAGCTGAACACCAGGGTTGGTGCAAACTTAGATTACACGCATTTAGCACCGAATAGAAGTTTTAAAACAATTCCCACTTTACCGGAAATTAATTCCTCAAATAGTATATTATGCAACAAGTGCGGTAAACCGAACTTTTGCGTTATTTTCCGCCAAAATTACGAGCCGTTAATTTTAGTTGTACGTGATATGCGTGATGCCCGAAAGCGTCCGAAGAACGGTTATGAATAAGTAATGCATAATATAAATCGCGTCTAACTGTACGTACGTGCTGGAAGTGGGATTACCCTCTCGTCGCGCTTCGGCGGTCTACGACTCCGGCACCATATTCAAACAACTTCCGGGAACTTCCGAAACACGAGCGTCGAACAAATAACGCGACGCGGTACGAAGCTGCGGTCAGACGCGATAAACTGCCGACGGAGACGACGTCCACCAGACTACTTCTTGAACACGGTACCCGCCAGGTTCTAGGTATGCGGTACCCACACCTGTGCTAATCTCGGCATCGTTTAGGTGCGTCAGACGAAAGAGAAGAGTACGCCGCGTCGCGTGTGATGAAGAATGCCGATTGCTTAACAGGCGTCGCATCGAACATCTCCGTCATTTTATTGTTTATTGTTACCTGCCGCCGCCGCCGCGCCGATAAAAGCGATTCCTCGATATGAAAAAAATTTACATTATGATCGGTGCAAGTCTTTAAATGTAAAGGAAATGGTAGAGATTATCGGAAGTCTTCAGAATGCGGAAATTGCTAGACAAAAAAAATAGCAAAAAAAAACAATATCTGCAATTTGGAGTAAGAACAAGATTGCTTTTATTTTAAAAATAAGGCGCTCCGCGGATTCCTAGAGGGACGCATTTTTTTTCTATTGTGCTCCTGCGGACCACCACGGAACTTTCGCAAAATCGATGTAATTTGATTATGAATACACCCTGTATAAAGTGTCCTTGACATCTCGTCGACGATGATGTTCAACAGTACCAATTTATTCTGAAGCGCTTTGTGTCGCTAAAATTGTTATATTTTTTTTATTATCTACCGATAATGTAACTGTTGATATTATTTACATCGAGAATATAAAATTTTTATTCAGAAAAAAATAAACAAACCAAAATAATTTTTTTTACTCAAAAAGTATTTTAGTTTAGGTAGTTTAGTTTCTTTCGTTTTTTAGTACCTATATTAGTGTTTATTAGTTTTCTATTTTTATACAAAGTAAAGATATGTACGTACCTACATTATTTGTTTGTGTTTTTTTCATAGCGTACTTCCGCTTGTAGAGTTCTGGTCCCCAGAGGGTACCTGATAACCGGAGTTCACTGTATACGTATTTGAAATGGGCCAATACAAAAAAAAACTTTGGGACAAATACCCCCGTTTTCTTTAGCATAAAATAAGGTATATGAAATTGACGCATTAACTTATAGCAAGGCTTTCAAGGTTAGGTTCTTTTATCCACAGACTACTTAATATACCATACATAATGTGGTTCACGCTGATTTGATATTTAAAAGTGAACTAGCAAAATTTGGTTTGATTAGTTTGGTTTAAAAGCACAAGTTTTCAATCCGGCATTTTAGAGGATATTCCAAGAAAGTCATGGACAAAGCAGATGTCGATTATATATTTAAAAGAAAACAACATTGATGAAGGATGAAATATGGAGCATTGTAGAAGGAAAAACAACTTCAGCGAATATGTGAAACCTTTAGGCCTCAAAATATTAAGACTTCCTCCATACCATCGGTTGAATGCTATTGAAATAATGTGGTCCGAGTGTACTAGGAAACACGACCAATATATTACTAGTCTCAAGAAAAAGTTCAAGGGGCTTTAGAAGGCAATTAGTACCAACGAAGACGTCTTAGGATTTAGTTTGGTTTCTGAAGACAGTAAATAGGAGTTTTTTTTTAGTTAAAAATGCTGTATTGCCTGCAATCGAGAATTAAAATAATTTTGATAAAAATGGGTGACTGGCGTTAATTTTTTACATTGGAAACAAGGAATAAAGCAAAAAAATATTATGTAATTTTATTGTTTCAAGTACGAATTCAAAGTTTGGAGTTTTTGTAACCCACAAGGTATCATCTTTAAACATTTTTTTTTAGTTTTTTTATAAAGGTCAACAAGATCTAATAATTGCACGTGCAAAAAATAATATTGTTACGCTGTAACGTGAAAAGTCGTTAAAAAAAAGTTTCAGTATCTCTCTATGGCTCTCCAGTAAGTAACGGCAATAATCATTTTCGCACATATTCAAAGGTGACCTGACTAAACGGGCATAAATTAAAATACATAGAGTTTAAAACTCATGTAACTATTAATGAAGTATAATAAAAAATATCAGTTATTTGCTTTCGAGAAATTATAAAAGAAAAACAAATAAAATTGCCTGGTCGCATTGACTTTAAAGTGGCACAGCAAGATTTTTTAACCTAAACCATTAAAAGATTTGCTCAAAAAATTGTATTTATATATTTATTAATTAATGTTGTAGGTTGGAAAAATTCGTACCTTCAAAAGTAGAACATAAAATACATTCGACTTACGTTATCCAGTGCGGATGAAAAACAAATGTTTTGGTATATTTTTTCCCCAATTAAAATTATACTTATAATTTAGCAGTCAATCTCATAAACCGGATATAGCGACTTGATAAAAATCGGACATTTAAAAAAATATATAAATAACGTACTACATTCATGTATTTCGTGCTGAGTTCTTTGTGACACAGGGTAACTATGTTTTTAAAGAAAATCTACGGCGCAAAACGCTTTAAATAAGACGCGACCAAAATACTTATGTAAATTGAAACAATACGAGCACATTGTTCTAATAAAACGTATCGCGTTCCGAATGGAGAGTCCGGCCTCAAAACTAATAACGTAAAAGTATACCGAAAAGGGGGTCGCACGCGAGCAAATCCGACTTGACAATAGCCCAATAATTAGGACTATTCTAATCGCATTAAACTACGTAGCACATACGATATCGCATTCATTACGATGACGTTCCTATCGAACGTAAATAAAATCAATACATATCGATTCTTGAAAAATACGTTTTTGCAGTTTGCCACTACGACCGCTTGGCGCTGGTGTCGCAACAGACGACAGTTAAAGTGTCATAAAGGAAGGTTAGACCAGTTTTTACTTTTTCGATTCTAGAGCGTAAACGAAACATAATAGAACTTTATTTGCATATTGAAATTTTACACACCTACTGGAATTTATATGAATTTCGTTGGCTGAATAATTTTAGCAGACAATAACCGCTCCTATATCGAACCACTCTAAAGTAAACAAATATCGAAGAAAAATACCTCGGGTAACGTAAAAATATTTAATTAGGCATACAAAAGTCACACATATTGCAAGTTGGCACGTAATTCATGTAGGTATACTTGCGCCAGAAATATGGTGCTTTTACAACCGACTCCTTGATTAATTTTGCCTACTGTTTATTACTCCAAAACCGCAGTACTTATAGAACATCCTGCCTCAAATATTTCCGCGGACGGAAAAATAAGGTATCTTCCACACTCACGCATTTTTGGACACAGCATGAAGAATTATTATGCTTCTTCCATGTGAAGGCGGCACGTCTAGTACACACTTGTTGCTGTTATCACACCATGAGAAACAATAAATTCATAGTTGTTGGTAACTTATAGTTTTTTATTACAAATCCCGAAATATAAAAGGTAATTCTCGTATTCTACTCTGCTGAAGTTTACGCATTTATAGTTAGTTATAGTTATTGTTATAAAAATGTTCAAAAAACCGTTCTAGTTCGCTCAGAAAATAAACAGAATTTCCGGAAAGTGGCGAAGAAAATAAGTAGAACATGTTTTTGGTTCAGTCCGATGCCCTCTCAGTGTTTCGTAAAAATTTATTTTCCTTTTATATTTTAAATTGTTTTTTAATTTTTAAACAATGAAAACGACTTTTTTATTGGCCCTTTTACGGAAGAAAACCGCTAACATGAAATTGCTTAACTATGTCGGATTACTACTTTCACATTACGGGTCATAATTTCGTTATTTCCAATGGAATGGCCAATTTGTTTTTGTTGCAATGCACATGTCTCATAATTACAAAATTTTGTTTCCATTAATTACTGAGTAACGGCATCATCGCTTTTTCAATAAAGAGTGCTCTAAAACTGCTCAAGCTGGAACGATAATATTCAACATGCAGAATTGAAAAATGCTAACAGCAGAACTTTAGAGGCATTTGAATATAGGACACTTTAGAAGTGTATCAGTGAAAGGTTACCACAATTTAAAATGTCATCACGAAATTTGCCAACATTGCATTAGCATTTTTGAATTCTGCATGTTCGAAAACTCCCACGTATTAAATTTTGAAGTTTTGCAGCATTTTTGGAGATATTTCACGTTGGCAACACTGTAGAAGCAATTTGGTTCAATTGCGCATGACCATCTAATTATATCTTTTATCTATGACTCCTATGCCTTATGTAAATCTGTAGTGCACATAAATAACATCAGTTAAAATGTCGCTTTGACTGATATTGGAGTTTGCCACGCCCCATGTATGCCCTGTAAATTATTTCCCATAAAATAAACTGCTGGGTTTATTTTATGGGAAATCTGACAACTCATTAATTGACATGGCAGAAAACGGAGGCCCGAGGTAGGAACCCTGAGGTACTCCGGGTCAATAGTTATGATAGTAACAGCGAGAAAAGTAATGGCCCTCAGGTTTAAAGAATTTCCTTTACTTTTGGTTAGTTGACCTTTCGGCAAACGTATAGCCTTCAGAGGTTCACGAGTATAAAATATTTTTGTGCTATTTTTGAGTGCACAAATCAGTGTCCTGAGGAAGCCGGTAAATCTGACGAAACGTGGACAGTATGAACCTATCAGTTCCTTAATAGTACTGTCAATATCATTTTGCGGCCAAACGAAATACGCTGCCATACTTTCAGATTATCGTCCGGCGTGCCTGATCTGAGGACCTGCTTGCTGAACCAGAAACTGCAGATGTTAAACTGTTGTCTCGAACGCAAGATGGCGCGGGAGGTTCTGTCGTACGCGTCCGCGGAAAACTCCGGCGACTCAGAAGACGAATTTTTCGATTGCTTCGACCGAGTGGACGAGGCAAAGAAGCGCGAGAAGAAATACGCCCCGTGGAATCAGCCTGTCGGCAGGCTAACCAAGTTCGGGGACTTGAAACTGATCAAGACCGGGGATCGGCTCTATATCCCGGTCACGCAGGACCCCGTTCTGAAGACCGAAGATCAAATGGAGGAAGATACGGGTAACGGCAAACCTGGTTCAGTTTGAAGACGTTCCTTTCCTGCCCATCTGACTTTCTATAACCTTAGAACGTTCATTTCGACAGAATATCCAAAGCTCTTAACTTTTTTCCCCTCTGATAATAAGACGACATTGGGTTCGACAGAAGATGGCAGGCGGTCCATTTTCCAACATGTAACACCTACACTTTTCCGCAGTCAGAACAAATCTTCAAAACTAACCTAAACTCCAATCTATGGTTAAGTTGTTTACCTAATATAGACAAGACAAGACCTAATTAAAATAGAATAAACATCTGTTGGGGCGGGTTTTATCACGGCCTGCGAAGGTCTGTGGTTAAGGTACTGTAAAATACTTATAACGCCAAAACAATAAATGCACTATATTTTTGGTCGTATTATACTGATGCGTTCTTATCATCACCAAAATCATTTCAGACATATTGCTCCAGCTCGGGTCGGACCAAGAGGCGTCCGAGTTAAGGGCGAAAATCCTGAGCGCCAGCCTGTTGTCCGACATGGAGTCGTTCAAAGCGGCGAACCCGGGCGCCATCTTGGAGGACTTTATCCGTTGGTAAACAACCATCGCGGTTCGGTTTTCGCCGTACATACGAAATTTGAAGGTACTCGCCGCGAGACTGGATCGAGGTGGACGAGCAGGACGAGTTCGGTCAGAAAAAGGGTCACCTGAGTAAACGGATGATGCTCGAGGACAACATATGGGTCGAGATGTGGAACAACGCGAGACCGGTACCGGCTAACAGACAAAAGAGACTGTTCGACGACACGAAAGAGGCGGAAAAGGTGTTGCAGTATCTGGGTAACTAAAGACGGTGACGGTTGAAGATGGCTTGACGCGTAGTCCGTGAAGATTTCAGAAACGTCGGCCAGCTGGTGGAGTTGTTGGTGCCCGTTATAACTCACGCCGCGGTACGCAGGGTAATCACGGAAGCGCAGAACCTGGGCGTCGCCCAAACGGTGGTGGACGGTCGGTGCGACCAACTGCTCAAACTCGGCGAGAGGATAACGAGGGACCACAAGTTCCAGGTCAAGAAATTCGAAGGATTTATCCAGGAGGTGACGTCGCTCGAACTGACGATCTCTCAGATTAATTCATTGCAGCAGAAGCTGAACAGCGAAGTGAATAAGGACGAGGCTGTTAGCGAAGCCGTCGGTAAGTCTTCATCATTCCTTCTTTCCTCTAGTCGGATCATTTGCCCCTCCAAGTCTTCTTCTATGAACCAATTTAATTAGTAGTGAAACCAATTGGAACGGGACCGTTAGAGAAACCACTATCTGTAAGGTTTCTTCTATTCCATCTTCGTGCCTGTAGTTCCATCTAATCTTTTTCAACCAGTCGTTAAGGTTCCCAAGTCCTTTGGTCTAAATCTAGAATCTCTTGAAACTTACTCAAATCTTTATTTATGAGCCAGCGACGGAAATAGGGACGAGACGGTTGGCGAAGCTATCGGTAAGGTCTCCTTCATACTTTTATTCCTCTGGTCGAGTCATTTCCGGGCCATCTTCCGCTTTTCAACCAATCCTTAAAGTTCCCAAGTCCAAATTTGGAATCTCGTAAGACTCACATTCCCTTCCAAGTCTTCCTTTCGGACCCATTTGTTATAGGCAAAAGATCAGATGGCCATATGGAGGCTGAACAGCGAAGCACATAGGGACGGGACGGTCAGAGAAGCTGTCCTATGCCGTTAAAGTTTCCAAGTCCTTTGGTCTAAATCTGCAATCTCATGAGACTTGCACAAGTCTTCCTTTATAAGCCATTTTAATTAGTCGCCATTTGGGAGCTGAATAGCGAAGGAAATAGGGAAGAGACGGTGAGTCCCCCAACCTTTCTTGATTCCTCTAGTCGAGTCGTTCCTGGGCCATCCTCCTTCTTTCTATCAGCCGTTAAAGTTAAAGATTTCCCTATTTCGTGAGATTTTTAACGGCGGACTGTGCCTTCTATTTAAGGTTTCCCCTATTCTATCTTCGTCGCTGTCGTTTCGTCTCAGTATAGAATCTGGTGGGACCTACATTCCTTTCCAATATTTTCTTTATGGACTATTGTAATTAGTCGTAAGATCAGATGTCCATTTGGAAGCTGAACCGTCAGCCGTTTCCGATCATCTACCCTCGTTTAACCAATCGCTAAGGTGGTGTCCCAGTCTGGATCTCGTAGATATGAGATGCCCATTCGGATGCCTTCTTTGTTCTCGACGTTCTAAGTCTTCATAAAGGTTTCCAACTCCAACTCCGACGATACTTTCTAAGTATTCCTCTGTATTCCTGTAAGGTTTCATTTTGGGGTTATTCTCATATCGATTTCAGGCAATCTGGCAATGGGGAGAGAGGTAGAGATAAAAAACAAAGAGAGCTCGTTGATGGGGTCGAGGTTGGTGTCGATGTTTAGGAACGCCAAAAAAGAGACTCAGGCGATTTTCCCCTCGCCGACGGCCAGGGAGTTCGTCCTGAGGACGAGCTGCGTCAGGCCCAGCGTCTACTCGGCGAAATGTCCCCAGATGTTGCGCGCGTTTTTGGGCAAAAACGAGTTCAGGCTGACGGGAGCCTTTTCCGGGGACACCGCGTTCTTTTAAGGAGGAGGGCAAAAAGTTGTTAAGTTTATTTTATAAATTTTATATTATACGTAAACATTTGTATTTTTCGTTGTTTATTCTTGGTTGCTGGTCCCTGTATCGCGTCGATCTAACTAAATTTGATCGCGTGTTTGTCCAAATTTAACACCGGTTCAGAGAACAAGAAATTTCTAGTGTTCTCGTCGAGTTCTTCGAGCGCCAGTTGAGCCTGCAACCTAAAGTAACAACAATCAAACATTAACCCAATAGTGTACAACACAAGTGACCAATTAAAAAAATAAATCCACTAGCCTCATTACGTCGTCGGCGTCGCTTTGGTAAACGCTCTTCAGCGTCCTATAGATGGGCAAAATCTCCTCCTTTAAGAACTGCACAAAATCAGCCCCTAGTCCGACCAATAGCTGCCTCAAAACGGTAACAGCCGCTCTTCGAGCGTCCGCAGCTTTATCGGTGGCGATGACTCCGTGGACGCATGCCAAAATCTACGAAAAAAAGTCGACCAGCGGCGTCTTAAAAGTGACGCCCGAAGATTGGTACCTCCGTAACCATCGTACCCAATTTGTAGCCCAACACCCGGCACACTTCTCCCAAATTCGATAAGCTGGAGGCGCGAACTAAGTAATCCTCGTGTTTGGAAACGTTCAGGAAGGTATTTAAGAGTAGCGCTTTGTATTTGGGCGCCATTTCGTCCAAAAGTTTTATAACTCTGACCAGCGACTCTCCCAATTTTATCCTCGTCTCGTGATCGTCCTCTTGTCGAGCGAACTCGGAATATTCCTCGCACAAAATTTGCAAAACCAGGTCGGGAAACATGTTCGCCATAGACGCGAGACCATCGATGGCGCTCAAATATATAAAGGAATCCGCATCCTTCAGGTGTTGCTACAGACAAGACAGTTTTTTTAGTCTAGAACCGATGACGTAATTCTAATTAACGTGAGTGTCGATTTGAGACTGAATCATCTCGAGGGAAACCTCAGACTACACTCACATATGGAAAAGACAATGAATCAGAGACCGCACGTGACTCAAGTGGACAAGTTCATTCCTGGTCCTGTTTGTTGAATTCTCTTTTGTTGTATAGATTTCACTGAAAGGTACTAACGATTTTCTTAAAATTAGATAGAATAAGAGAGAAACTAAAGAATATTAAACACAGGTAGGTATAAAATTATTTTTTATTACGGACCACAATTAATAATTGCTGCGTTGTATGTTAATGACCACCCTTGGATAATCCCATTGAAAAGCAGTTGGTCACTCTCGTATATCTCGAACACACCATACGGGGTAAAATGCGAGCCAGTTTCAGTCAAGCTCTGAAGAAGCCAACAGGATGATTGGCGAAACGTTAGCAAGTTCGACTCAACAGAAACCGACGCAGGAGAAATCCAGAAGTTTTATGAAAAGTATTACAGTAGTCTGTGGAAGTTTCTTTGAAAAATGAACCAAGAAAACGTTACTTACTTGCAATATGTTAATGACGTAGTGTTTCCTGTTTACAACCTGCGGGTCTTTCTTTTCTATTAACTTTTTCATGGTCATCAAGCCATGTCCTCTAACCGGCAACAACGGATCGCAGATATCCGCGAGCGCCCGTTCAAATTCGGTTTGCTTTTCGGGAATCGGCGATATACTTGGCGCAGGCGGTGAGGATTTGTTACAGGCAAGTAAAATTTTTTGAATTAGGTCGGACAGTTCGGCATTGCTTGTTCCGTGCGCAATCAGTCGCAGGCGATCGACAAGCGTTTCCCGCTCGCAAGCAGTTCGAATGGATTCGTTCGAAACGAGAGCGTGCAAAACCATTATTACGACAAACAGCGACTGAAACTCGTTAGATTCCACCCTGTCGCCTTTATGGATGTTGTCTTTTATGCTTTTCTGTAATACGCTTTCGACAAAATTAATTATGTCGCCCGGACATTCGACAAGTTTCTCCTGTATAGATTTGTTTTCCGACAAGTCCGACAACAACTTGTACACCATTAAGTTTTCTTCGAACACGCTCATACACGTTTTTTCATCCAAACCTAACCTTCCTTTTAAGGGTTTTTCGAAATACTTATCAGAGTATACGATACAATGCAGCAGGTACCTGAAGAATTTATATAAAACTTCTATTTTATCCTCGCTTAGTTTAAACAAGTTTTCCAAATTTTCGGCCACAGAATATATTACAGAGTATCCTGGATAGCTTAACGAAATAGACCGGCCCTCTATCACCAAAAATATGTCGCTCCTAAATGGTAAAGTGGGCCCATGCATGCGAAATATTAACCCATCGAAAATTTCAAACAAGACACCACTGGATTCAGAAAAACATTTAAGTAATATCTCTTTGGTTTCTTTGGCAAGCGTTTTAAATGCGGATCCAGAAGTTATGCAATAAAATCGAAAGATCACATCTAGGAATGGGGTTAATATGCCGAGAGGCGGAGGTTTGCAATTTACGGTGTTTTCGATGAACAGCGAGTGCACTAACCTCACATTTTGCTGAATTAAAACCTCCAAATCAGCTTCTGGGAGTTTAGACTTGAAGTTCGTGTAGTCGCCAAGTCTGCCCACAATTTTTCCCAGAAAAAACTCTCCCAACACCTCGTCTTGGGTATACAATGCTTGAACGCAGCTGATAAACACTCTTTCGTATAACAAACTACCGTGACGAGTTTTATTTAACATCGTGAACAATTGCTCACCGATGGTGCTTTTAAAGTTCTCGTTTTCTTTACAACTTAATACAAGCCGGGATATTATATCCAAAGCTTTCCAAGTGTCGCCATTGTCATTTGTACTACCATCTAACATGGCTATTGAAATATTTTCCAAACCATTGGCGCTGTACAATATATCAGTGAGGGTTCGAGACAAGGCCCTTTTAAACCAAGGTGGTGACTTTTCTCCCACAATAGTCATAGTTTCTTTTACATAAATGGAGGGAAGAATGTCCTCTCTAAGGCTTTTCAGAAAACAAATTCCTATCTCTCTATCACTTTGGAGCCTGTCCCAAATTGCTTGCGTTAGCTGAAGGTTGCTCTTTTTCAATGGGCAATAGGAAATTTGATATAATGCTACCAGGAGACTCCTCAAAGATTGAGTGATAATTGCAGTCCTGAGGCATGGATAACTTATTAGCTCACAAAGTGCAAAAACAGTTGACTTCATTATATTGTATTCATAAAAAATATCATCAGTTTTTGTATATTTCTCTTTTACATAAAGAGGTAAACAAGGTTGCAGCTTTGAATTAATGCCAACTCTCGTCAACTGATTAATGTGGGCTTTCAGGTTTTTGCTTTCTTTAACGCTTAGAATTTCGCCAGAGTTTTCAACCTCTTCCGCAAATTTTTTTAAAGTAAATAGAGTTACCAATATGTACTTCCATTCCGCTGCATCCGTAGTGGAAAAGTAACCTTCCACACTACTTCCTAAGTAATGGAGCATTTTTTCGTAAGAAGTTCCCAAATTTTCACTCGCCTCCACATATTTTCTTTCAAAAAACTTTGCAAGTTCTCCCTCTGCAAATAAACTGCCAATGGATCCTACACATACAATACATCGCAAATGTAAATTTACCATTATTTGCACTAAATAACTCGTTAAGTAATGAATACAAAGAAGATTTGTCCATGATATTTTATTTAAACATCTCCGTGGCAGTTTAGCAGCAATATTAATAGAAACCAAAAATAAAAACAACTCGCTTTTATTAGGTTAACTTTTGTGATCTGTGAAATTGTTATCCGAGATGTCATGGAAATCGCACAATCAAGGTTCGCAAACTGGTTTCGTCCACATCGAACAATGTTTTTCTTATATATCATGAGAAAATAACGTTCTCTATTTAAAAGATTGGAGCTTGTTTAATTGCATCATCATGTAATGAAAAAATGCCAATATGACGAATGAAAAGCTTAATGGAAACCATCCGGCTTTTATCCATGCCCACAAGGTCAACCTACAAAAAAAAATTTTTAGTTTTTACCCACAACGAATTTATCGACTTACTCATAATTTTTGTAATTTTCGTAATATGGCGTAATATCTATTATACCACACCTGATTATTATAACTTCTTCTAATATGCGATCTTTTACGTCCGTCTTCAAATTTTCTATTTTATGAACGATGCTGTGTCCTTTCAATACCTAGAAACGCCAGAGCTGGTTTTGATTTATTTTAAGAGCGCATTGTAATTATTATATAATATGAGACGATATAAAATGATAAATAAAACGAAGAAAAATAACCATGTCATGAAATATTCTTCTTCTTTTACGATTTACTTCCCAATATGCACTTGTCACAGAATATAGTCCTATAACTCGTTGGCATAATCCGTAATTCCTTTATTTTAATATTCACCTTGCCGAAAACAACATTCTTCCCGTTTAACCAAGGAGTTGCCATTGTCGTTATCAAGAACATACATCCATTTGAGTTTTTCGCTAAAATCATAATAAGTAATAAGTATAAACCATATAAAAAAATTGCGTTACTTGCAAAGTTGGCCATCATAAGTAGGCCAGCTGAATCGGCTTTCACAAAGTAATTTTCGTCGTTGAAAAACGTGCCGTAAATGCTAATGGAGCCCGTTCCGTTATTATTCACGATATCCCCTCCTGCAAGAAATTTTAAATTCTGTGCGGAATAACCATCAATAGCGGATCTACCTAGAATCATAACCTTCTTGATTGCAATCAAAAATTTTGACCCTGCGTAAGTTTTGCCGTCTATACCCTCAAGAGCGAGATGTTTGAAATTTTCTACGGTTTTAGGGGCAATTTCGCCAAACAGTCCAAAGATGACACGTCCGGTTTCCCGATCGTTAATTTTTATGTCCATAAATAGTTGATCAGTGATTTTATATTCTTCGCAGATGCACTGAAAGGAATGGAATTTAAAATATTCAAATAATCTTTTACTAATCGCTGTTGTTTGAAGTTTGTTTAAAAAAATTAAGTAAATTTATTGCTTAAAACCGAAAGTCACCGTGAAAAATAAAAGCTCTTACCATGTTAGAATGGAGGACAATGAAGAAAAGTGCCAGATACGTCCTAAATAGCGAGTCACCCTTCATAATGATCGTTTGCCCAATAAAAGATTTTGGATTGCTATAATAGGTAGTCATAAATATTGATCCGTTTTAGATTTTAATACTTTAATTTAATTAAATTTGGATTTAGATTCGTTGACGTCACATATTATTGGATTAAGCCCGGTAAACACGATGCAATTTCTGCATGTAATTTTTTGGTAGAATTTAATTTTTAAAGGATGTTTTTTAAATTTTGCATATTTGGAATTATAAAAGTGTGTGGTCTGCGGTGCTAAATAAAAATTTTCAACCATACATTGTTGTATGCTAAGGTTATGTTTACACTAATAATGATTCTGTGAATTTGGCAGATGGTTCTAGAATTGATGGCCAACTAGCTGAGATTGAAGAAACCTTCTCGTATAACCTTCCAATTTGTTTTTTTTTCGGTCAACCAGGTGAAGTGGTGTGCACAATTTTACCTCGGTCCGAGAAAATTTTCATTTTTTTGACGTAATTCTAGTCTTCAACTGAATTTTTCGGTCTGGGTGAGTTTTATATTTAGTCAGCCGTTAATATTTGCTTTGGTTTGGTGTCGCAGTTCGCAATAATTTAGCGCTTTTCATATCATGGCATGTGCTTCGGGGGGTAAAGACCCCCCTGATAGAAACGATCGTATCGTAGTTAATAATCCGATAGTGTTTGCAAATGATTTTGATTCCTTTCAAGCTCAACTAAACTTGTCCCAAGCTTCTACCTCCTCTAGCAGTGGTTATTCATCAGCCTTGACGCTTTCGCCTTTAGCTAAGAAAACAGCACATGCTATCGCTCAGCATCAATACTTCTTAGTACCCACTAAGGAGGAAATAGATTTATTGGAGACAGAGTTACAAAAGCTTAAATCTGTCTTCGTGGAAGATCAGGATGCCCTAAACGAAATTGCAAGAATTTCAGTCAACATAAGGAGAACACTTAACCGAAAGTATAAGTATGAACTTACAGACCAGGGACCATTTCTTATCATAATGGAGGGAATAACTTCTCAAGTTGGAAACATTCACCCGATGAATATTGGAAAAATTTTGCACAGAGCTGGAGTACAAGGTATAACAAAAATCAATAGAAAAGGGGCTAATAAAATTGGAATTGAATTCAGAACATCAGAGTATGCTAATCAGTTTTTGTCAAATGAAAGTTTCAGTTCTGCTAGAGGCTATAATAGGTACATTCCACAACGTCTTGTCACTTGTAGAGGACTAATCAAGGATGTAGGGGACCAAATTACGGAAGAGGATTTTTACTCAGAAGCGGTAGCTTATACAGGAGAAGGATCCCGGGCCAGGTTGATTAAGATATTAAATGTAAAAAGAGTCTTAAGAAGGAAGAAAATACTTGCTATTTCTGGTGAAACAGTAATGAAAACCATCCCCACAAACGATTATATTGTAACATTTGAAGGCAAATCATTACCCCAAACTGTAAATATTTTTAATAATGAAAGAGAAGTGGAAAAATATGTTAACCCGGTTATAATGTGCGTCAATTGTTGCAGATTTGGACATGTCAAAAATAATTGTAGAGGCAAGCCTCGTTGCGGTTTTTGTACAGAAGATCATCTTATGTTTGTTTGTGAAAAAAGAGAGCAAGCAATGAAAAAAATGAAATGCCCTGCAGATCATCTTAACAATCTGACTAAAACGTGTAAAATTCCAAATTGTGAAGTAAATCCAAAACCAAGCTGCGTAAATTGCAAGGGACACCACACTGCTACTGACTGGGGATGTCCCGAATACAAACGGCAAAAACAAATTAACGAAACCATGAGCTTCTACAACCTTTCTTTTTATGAAGCAGCTAAACTGCATCCACGGCTAATTAATGCAAACCAAGGCTTTACCCGAAAACCAGAAGATTTTCCTAGTTTAAATAAAAAAACTCAGAATAAACCTCCTCATCCAACAAGTCCTCAGGGCTGTTCCTCATATACATCAGTACTTAAAAGAAAACGGCCTGACACCCAATTTACCAAAGGGTATGATAAAGTAGCCCATGAACTAACTTTGTTACCCTCAAGTGCAAGAAGAAAAGTCTCATCTATACAAGTAGTTGAAAACTCGACATCAGAGTCGGAAATGGAAGTAACTCCTGTAGGAAATGGCTGGGAAGAAGTATGCAACAAGTTTGAAGCTTTCAAAAAAGACGTTATGTCAATAAAGGGTATGGATGAAAATTGTGTCAACAATATCAAACAATATTTTGGTTCATTTGACCTACGGAGGGGGGGCGGCTGCGATGGCAGCGGTTGACCTACAGGGGTTAGAAAAAGCAAAGGTAATCTTATCACTAGTTTTAATCTAACAGTAGTTTTTACGTAACAAAACTAAGTTTAAGTTTTAGTCACAAGCGTTTTATAGTTGAGCTATAATGAATATCGTTCACTGGAACATTTGCGGGGCTGAAAAAAATAAAGATGCTATCATTAGAGTTATAAGGGATTTTAAGCTACAGATCTTATTGCTCAATGAAACCTTGCTCAAACCCAACACTAACTTTAAAATATCAGGGTTCTCTTCTGTAAGAGCAGATAAACCTAATGGTGCAGATGGTATAGCAATTTTCTTGAAAAACAAAATAAAATATAATATCATCGACTTAAGCAGAATTAATATACCAGAGAGGTGTCAGGTTATTCTTGTAGAGCTTGTCGATTTTTTTATTTGTTGTGTTTACAACCCTCCAGATATTTGTTTGGTCAGGGCAAGCCTCGATTCAATTTTCGATCTAACCCGTAATAAACCCGTCCTCGTTATGGGAGACTTTAATGCCCATAATCCAATATGGGGTTCCCAGGTCAGTTACTCACGGGGAATTAGAAGTGGGAACATTCTTTATGATTTCATTAAGGATCACGATTTGTGGGTACTAAATGATGGATCAGCTACTCGGCTCACACGCCCAGGCGTACACAGCGCTCCAGATGTAGCTTTTTGCTCCCAGAGACTGTCTGGACTTACTGACTGCAGGGTTCTCCAGGATAGAGTGAATAGCGATCATTTTCCTATTTTGTGTATCATCGGAAATAACCGTTGCAACTCAGGTTCGACAAGAAACTACACTAGCAAATATAATTTCAACAAGGCAGACTGGGAGAAATTTTCCGATTTAATCTCCACGAAATTTAGAACTTCACCTCCTATAAATTATGAGGATTTTATGAATATAATTTTCCTATCTATTGCAGAATCTGTTCCAATGCATAAACACTCATTAAACTACGGGTTACCTTGGTGGGATAATGAGTGCACCAACGCTATTAAAAGGAAAAGACAAGCATTCAGAGACTATAAAAACAACCCCTCTGAGACCAACTTCCTGGAATCATTAAGAACCCGGGCACAAACAAGACAGCTGCTACGTAAGAAGAAAAAGGAAGGCTTTGTCAACTTTTGTGAGAATCTATCTCCAAATACTAGTGCAAAAGAAGTTTGGAGCAGTATTAGAAGGTTTGCTAAAGGTATCAGGTACCAAAATTATCATTTTCCCTTGAATTTCTCAATCCCACAAGATATGTTTGATCTTTTGACGCAACCTCCCTCTAGGTTGCCTAATATCCCCGAATGTCGCTTCTCATCAGAATATACAGAAGACTTCCATATCTCAGAATTTGTCGCGGCCGTTAAAGGTCGGAAGAGCAAGAGTCCCGGTGTGGATAAAGTACCTTTCAGTGTGCTCAGCCATCTCCCTGTTGAAGGAGCAGTCTTTCTTATCAAATTTTTCAACAAAATACTTCGGAGGGAAACCACCATTCCAGAGACGTGGAAAACCCAAATGGTGATCGCAATTCCTAAACCGGGGAGAGACCCCTCAGCGTTATCGTCCTACAGGCCCATCAACCTAGCTTCTTGCATAAGCAAAACTTTTGAAATTATGATCAAAAACCGACTGGAATGGTTCGTAGAGAACCAAGGTTTAATAGACGTTCGCCAAACCGGTTTCAGAAAGGGTAAGGGAACTTTCGACAATCTTGCAGTTATCTCCTCAGAGGTCCTCTGCCGTTTGGCTCTCAATCAACTAGCAGCAATGGTGACTTTGGACATATCCAATGCCTACGATAATATAAATGTTGACTTATTGACCTCGGTGTTGGCCAAAATTGGAATCGCCAGAGATTTGACTTTGCTCATTAAAGATTTTCTCACGAACAGGAAGATACAAGTTAAAGATCCATCTACTAATACATTCGTGTCAGGCAGAACCACTAGCAAGGGAGTTCCCCAAGGTTCCCCTCTTTCTCCATTACTATTTAATATTTACATCAATTCAATCAAAGAAACAATTCCTGAGAACATAAGACTTTTACAGTTTGCGGACGATACCGCCTTGCTGAGTACTGGGACTGATGCCCAAACAATAGTGAACAATTTGAATAGAACTTTGCAAAATATACATATTTGGTCTTTGAATGTAGGACTTGAGATTAACCCCAATAAATCTGCAGCTATATTTTTTTCCAGGAAGAATTTCAAGGTTAATTATCTCCCCAGACTTCACCTCAACACTCGAACCATTGCATGGACAAATTCCATCACATATCTAGGAGTGATTTTTGATCCAAAACTGTCATGGGAGTCACAAATTAGAAATATGATACAGAAAGCTTCAGGTGGGTTGAATATGATGCGATTTATAAGTAGAATCTGGTGGGGGGCACATCCCTCTACCCTTCTAACTTTTTACAAAGCTTATGTTAGACCCCATTTGGATTATGGAGCCTCTTTTTTGGGTGGTAGCTCAAGAAAGTCTATTGCTCAACTTAACAAAATTCAATTTGAGGCACTGAGAATAGCTCTGGGATATATGAAGTCCACACCTACTAACATACTTCTAGGGGAAGCAAGTGAAATGGATTTAGAACACAGAAGATACATGCTAGCGACTAAATCATTATTGAAAGCTGCCAGTTTAGTGGACAGTGAAACCTTAGCTGCGGTTAGATGGTTATATATCACCTATAATGAAAACTATTACTTTTTTCGGAAAAAGAGTATTCCTGCACTTGTGGATGCTTTTGAAAGAGTTGATTCACTGTTAGATACACTTTACAGGAGCCCAGTTTATCCCTGTTTTTCTTGCCCACTGCCGAACCTTTTAAGCTCTGTTCAAATCCAAGACTTAAAACTAAAGAAAGATAATAATAACTCCAAATTATTTGAAATTAAGAAGAGCGAGACTTGGACCCCAGATTTTCATTTAATTTTTACAGACGCCTCAAAAGATAAAGAAGGCCGAGTAGGTTTTGGCGTTTACAACTACAATACGAACCTTAAAATGGGACAAGGCCTACCAAGTGAACTATCCATTTGCTCAGCCGAGATTTATGCTATTGGTCAAGCTCTTGATTGGATTGAATTCAAGGACATCAACAAAGCAGTCATCCTTTCAGACTCCAAAAGTGCCCTCGAAGATATCAATAAAACTGGGATGGATGCAAAGTCTAACTACCTAACCTTGCAGGTTAAGAATAAACTATTTACCTTAATAAAAACGCAAAATAAGGACATCCAATTATGCTGGATACCAAGCCATACCAGTATAAAAGAAAACGATATTGCGGACCAGATCGCCAATGCTGCACGCCTGGAACCACAGGAAAATATAAAATTGAGCTTTAGGGAATTCTTACCTAAATTAAAGCATAACATCTGGAATGCTTGGAGCGACAGATGGAAACATATAGGATTAGGGAAAGGAGTTAATTTCACCTCACATTATTCTACTCCGCCAACTAAACCCTGGTTTCATAAGCTCGACCTGAATAGAAGAGAAATCACAACTATGTGTAGACTGAGAAGCAACCATTGCTGTTCTCCGGCTCACCTAAATAGAATCAAAGTCAAACTCTCCGGAGACTGTGAATGTGGAGAACTGGGCGATTTAAGTCATGTGCTGTTTGATTGTGCTCTTCATTGGGAAAAATCACAACAGTTGTATGAGTCACTCATTAGTGCTAATTTTCCTTCGCCTCTACATATTAATTCCATTTTATTTCACCGCACTCAGTTGGATTTTGCTGCTAGAATTGTTTGCCGCTTTTTAGATGCATGTGGATTAAAACTTTGAATATTGTTTTCACATTTTCTAATTCTTTCGTCCATTTTTTTTTCCTGTATAGCCGTCCAGTAGGATGATGGTATCACCCAGACCCTCTTTACGGAGGCATCCTTCATGGAAATAGTTTATTGCACACCACTACCGAGAAGCTGGCCGAATTGCCTTAGCAGCAGTGGCCAAATAAAGCGTAAATAAAAAAAAAAAAAAAAAAAAAACCTTCCAATTTATCTCTTGACGACCGGAGAAATATGTGGTGTGTAATGCACGACCGTTTTGAGTTCGAAATAATACACACTCAATGAAAACACACAAATAAATAAAAAGCGATGGCATCTTCGATTCCAATATTAAGTATTATGTTGAGACTTGAAACGGACGCCTTGTAACGAGTTGACAATTTTAGTACGTAGCTCCTCTGGAATATCTAGTTTTTCGGGTACACCCGACTTTGCACCGTTAAAAGAGTTCGATCAGGTACAGAGTAAATCATGCAGATCGATGGTCTTCAGTTCCGATGGCTCATATTTGGCGTATGTTGTGGGGTCAAGGTAAAATGTGCAGCAATTGCTGTGGACTGTGGAGTCCCAACTAAGTCAATTATTTAATTTTTCAGTTTGAAATTGTTTTCTACCAATGGCTGGAGAGAAGTGGCTGCCATCGAAAACGTCAAGTCATACTATATTACATTTTCACCCAAAAGTACATTTTTAATCAGTTGGGAGCCTTTTACAGTGAGCAATGCCAATCCGCAGGGTAGTCCCAATTTGAAGCTCTACAAAACGGAGGACGGGCGGCATATTAAAAGCTTTATTCAAAAAAAGCAAATTAATTGGTTGGTAATTTTAGGTTCTTTTTGGGCCCTTTGTTATATTTCTCTTTTTGACTCAGGGAACTGGAGTGGAGTCAAGACGAGAAACTGTGCACGAGATTGATAAACAATACTGTTGAATTTTTTGAAGGCTTCGATTATGACAAACCTGCAGCAAAAATAAGCGGCCAGAAAGTATCCTCCTATAAAATATCACCAAACAATGGCACCTACTTTGTTTTGTGTTATTGTTTGGGGTCCGGGGGACAACCATCGGTTATCAAGTAAGGGGTTAGGGAGTAATTTTTTTTAAAGATGGACCACAGTACCTCGTAGGCTATTCAAATATCCGAACTTTGATGAAGAACAAGCCATAGTGAGCAAAAGTTTCTTTCAAGCAGACAAAGTGGATGTTATGTGGAATTTGAAAGGGAACAACGCTCTGCTACTGACCTCGACCGAAGTAGACAAAACTGGTGGTTCTTACTATGGCAAACAGGGCTTGCATTTTATTGCACTGAATGGCCAGTGCAACACGGTTACCATGAGTAAGGGGATATTTTTTTGGCATATGTTCGGGAAGTACTAAAGTGTGGAGTCTTATGTTATATTGTAGACAAGGAAGGACCTATCTATAGCGTCCAATGGTCGCCGAGAAACGACGAATTTTGCGCCATCTACGGCTTCATGCCGGCGAAAGCAACCATATTTAATTTAAAATGCGAGCCCGTCTACGAACTGGGTACTGGCGCACGGAACGCAGCGTATTACAACCCGTTCGGAAACATACTTTTGCTGGGCGGCTTCGGCAATTTGCGGGGCCACGTCGAAATCTGGGACGCGACCAACAAAAAAAAGATCGGTAAAAACCATTCCCTCTTAAATTGCCTAGAAATCTGCAGTTGGCAAAAAAAAATTATATATAATCACATATAAACTATGTCACATCACAATACCCATGGATCTTAAAATTCAGGCTTTTACTTGATGAAAATCCATTTAACCAAATAAATAAGAACTAAAAATTCAGATTTGCACAAAATTATATATATTCACGTGACAATTGTTTCGATAACACCGTGTCTTTATCAAAGTTGAGGGCAATCAATTCAAAATAATAAAAGTCAAACAAATAAAATCCATAGGTTAGTTATGTAAACTTTCTTGTAATAATCACCCCAAAACATAAAAATAGGTCCTTAGTTAAAACCACGGACAACAAAACATTTGATTTTAAAAAAGTTAATCAAAGGAACTATAAAAATCTATTTTGAGAGATAGCCAACTCGACGAAAATTTGGTGCTAAAATTAACGCAAATTCTACTTGCGACACAGCGTCACGGAATAATACATTAGCAGAAGCGACGACGGCGACAGCGAACCTCTGACGTCATGTACACTGAGAGAACGGACATATTTAATGAGTGAATGTGGGCTTTGTCTGTTTGTCATCGTTGATCGTAACAACGATTATTTGATATATATTGTTATAATTAATTTGACAGTAAGCGGAAAATCCATGAAACTGTCACTTTACTACTAATTCGCGATTTACATGTCATGGCCTTCGTCCAGTCTATTCTTAAAAACGTTCACTGACGTAACTTCCACGGTATCGCTGAAGTGCGTTCCAAAGATATACTACTCGGTTGGTGATGAATTTTCATCTGGCAAGTTTTGCGCCTCTCTTTTTATACAGTTTTTTTATGTGATCTGTGAGTGTCGTTTCGCCTCTTGTTAGGGAGATATCCAGCTGGACACTATAGTATCCAGACATAATTTTGTAGATCTGGATTAAGTATTCTCTTTGCAAGCGTTCTCTTAGCGTGGTCCTGTTTAGTCTGGAGGAACAAATTTCGTAGGGAAGGTTTTTAAGTATCCAGACATAATTTTGTGGGACCAGACTCAGAATCCTGGTCATTCTCTTGTCTTCAGTCGGGAGAAATGAATTTCGTATAGAAGGTCTTTAGTATCCAGACAATTTTGTGGGTTTGGATTAAATTCCCTTAGGGTCCCTTTAGTCTGGAGCAATGAATTTCTTAGGTAGAGTTTGGACATAATTTTGTGGGTCCAGTTAAATCTTCAGTCTGGAGGAACGATTTCGTAGGGAAGGTAAAAACCCTTACTTAATTTCATAGGGAGAGTAAAAATCCTTACTAAAATTTTGTTAATCTGGATTAAGTCTCCTCATTGTCAAAGTCTCTCTTGAAGCAGTTATCTTCAGTCTAGAGGAATGAATTTCGTAGGGAGGGTTTTTAAGTATCCAGACATAATTTTGTAAGTCTGGATTGAGTCTCCTCTTTGTCGATGTTCACTTAGGGTGGGTTATTTTGAGTACGGAGCAGTGAATTCCGTAGAGAGACATCCATTTTGTGGGTCTTAAGGTCTTTAAATTCAGTTCGAATTCATACGACACGATGCTGTGCGCGATCTTTATTCTGAACGTAGTATGGATTGCTTTTATGTATATATGCTGTAGATATGCTTGCCATTTGTTAAAAAGGAATAATCCATAAATGCGACTGGAAGGTGTTTGCTCTTTTTACTATTTCTGCTACGTGGCTCTCCATTTTAAGATGCTTTGTGATAACTACTCCAATCAATTTGAGGGTGTATGCAGTATTGTACTCAACCCGTCACGCAACTTTATTATATTCTCAATTTTTCAAATTTTATTTGTTAACACCTCGGCACGGGTCGAATATAAAGTCATCGGAAAAAGAATCCGTCTAAAGTATGAGCCACACGTGTGCGACATAGCGTTTTTCAAGGTTCCTGCGAAGCGCCCGACACGACGCACCTGCAATGGGCGGCGGACGGTGAACACTTCGTGACGTCGACGACCGCCCCACGTTTAAGAACCGCCAACGGATTTAAAATATGGCACTATTCGGGCGCCCTTTTGCACGAAACCGATTGGCCCCAAAACGAGGAACTCTACGAAGTTTCGTGGAAGGTATTTGTGATCTATACTACGTTTCTTAATGCGAGAGTTTAATAAAATCTAACTTTGCAATAATAGGAGGTGATGTAGTAAAGTTCAAGCTCTTCCATTTGCTGGTTCTCATCCTCCATGTGCTTGTCGCCTCATCGCGTTGATCTTCGTTAGATTTGTGAATTCTTTTTATCTTATAAGGTCTTGATACATCGGCTTCCTGCTTGTATTTTGTTGTTTATTTCCTGGGACCCAATGTTGTCTGGTCGAAGTTGTAGTCTCCAATGGTTATATTCTGACCAATCCTATCTCTCCTCCAGCTTGGTCTTATTTTTGTTGATTTGGAGCTCCACTTTCTCTGCCTCCTAGTGAAAATTTCACTCGTCTTTATTATTCCATTTCCTTTCAGATATACGTTGTCTGCAAAGGCCGATAGTAGATCGAGACCTTCCCGACGGAATACTAAATTTGGCGCCTCAATTCGTTCGTTCATACACATTGTTATCAGACTGACCAGTTTTTTGGAGAAGCCAAGTTCTTGCGTTCCTGTCCCACAGTTTCATTCTACATACTCTATCCAATGAAGACCTAGAACATTTGATGCAATTCTCTCAACACACTCAGCAGAGATGCCATCACTCTGTGGAGCATTATTATTTTTGAGCCTTCTAATTGTCTGTATTCATTCCTCATATAGAAAGCAATTGGTCTTCTACTTCTTCATTTGAGATGGTTCTGCTTGATTTGTCCCTGAGCTCTTCACCAGAATATCCTGTGGATCTAATCTAATGCTTTTTCAATTGTTCAATGAAATGTAAAGAATTAAGTACGAAACCATCAGTTTTCCCTGTAAAGGGGTTTAATATAGAAGCTACATATTTTGCTAGAGAATATGTTGGAGAACCGATGGTGTCACAATAGGTCGAAGGGGTAATCCTGGTTTGTGAATCATAGGAAGTCCATAAAGACGAGGAATTTTGGAGTCATGAGGGGTGACAGACCTTTCCACAAATTCTGATACACAACAAGCAGTAATAACAGATTTAAGGTTGCCTTCCATAGATGACGTAGGATCTTTTTCCATTTGTGTTCATGACCAACGTACCATTTACTTTACCTGCTTTTAGAATTACGATGTCGGGACAAGATTTTAGAGCGATGCGTTCAAACTTCGGAATTTTTGATTTGGAAGCTTTTGATTTTTTAAAGACTTTTGCGGTTTCAAATCGAATTTCATTAGCTGTTCGAGACGGCAGTTTGTTAGGACTCGACATTTAAAATGAGGCAAGGACGAAGTTGTAACTTGTTGAAAATTGATACGACGATACATTTACAACCGTGTTTAGTAATTGGGAAGAGTTTGATGATTTTACTAGTGTTGATGTTAGTTTTAAACACTAAGGCATAGGTATAGGTTCTCTATAATACGACCAAAAATATAGTGCATTTATTGCTTTGACGTTTTAATTATTTTACCGGGAGATGGCGAACGTATATTTTTAGAAACTTGAAATTTTTATTTGAAACGTAAATAGAGCGTTTTAAATTTGATTAAGCATTGATGCTGCGCCGTATTTTGAATAAATAGAAGCGTTTATTTAACCATCAGGTGTTCATATATATTATATATATTTGACTGTGATCCTTCCAGTAAGTACGTATTTATGTACCTGATTCTCGAGGCTGTTATCTCTTGATAGTTCAAAGGGTAAGGGTAAATACCTGTATTTTATTGTACCTATACTAAATTGCTCCTAGAACGGTCCCGGAATGGTTACGGTTAAGCTTCTGCTCGACAGTGTTCTATAAGGGGCAGCGGTTTTGAAGTAATAAACAGTAGGTAGTTAATCACAGGATCGGTTGTAAAAGCACTATATTTCTGGTCGAAGTATACCTGCCACTCTCGTGACACTTGACAGTCATCATCAAATTTTACCATTCAATAACCATTTATGACTATCTCGCATTAAGAAACTTAGTTTTGAATGGAAATTTGAGGTTACGGATCGGCATTGTGCCGTCGCATTTTAGCCGTACCCGAAACTCGCGTTCAGGGAGCCCCAAATCGAGTTTAAAAAGGTCGAGGGCATAGCGTCGAGTCAGCCGCAGGCGTCGAAGGAGGTGTACAGGCCGCCGGGGGCCAGGAACCGCCCCTTCGTCACGTTCAGTTTGCATAACGAGGACGAGGCCGCCCACAAGGTGGGCGGCGCGGGCGCGCCATCTAAAGCCGCGTTGAAGAACAAAAAGAAGCGAGAAGCGAAAAAAGCGAAACAGAACGACGAGGATAAAAGCGACACGGTCGCGGTAACCAGCAGCGTGCAAATTACCTTGACAGGCGATCCGGAAGTGGATAAAAAATTGAAAAACATCAAAAAGGTGCGCCATATCGCGGAAATTTATCGAAAAGATTAACAAACCTTGTTTTGGTTCCGCAGAAACTGGACGCGATCGAGAAACTAAAGAAGGAACAGGCGTCCGGAAAGACGCTCGAACTTAATCAGCTGATGAAAATCGAAGGCGAAGCCGCCTTGATCAAGGAGTTGGAACAGTTGTCGGTGTGATAGGTTCTCGCGGAAACGGCGTGCTATTATGACGATTGGAATCAATTTGAAACCTATTTTAAGATTGCCGTGATTTTTATTTTGGTTAGGTTTTCCTTTTGTCCTCGATATGTTATGGTCTGTAAGGCGCGTCATAGACGGCATCATACGATTTATTTTTACACGATTTACGAAAAGCCTGGCAATACGACACAAAAATGAACACCTCATCAGTAAAATGACATTTTTGTTCACATATGAAAAGCTTTGAAAATATTTGCCTTTCGCAAAAAGTTGGGAAATCTACTATGGCCATTCGCCGGTTACCGACGTACGTCGATGAATTTTTCTTTTGATCACAGACCAACATGTAATAGAAACTATGACCAACATTTGTTCTTAGCGTGCAAACAAGGACTTTGACCGATAACAAAAAACTGCCACTCCTGCTTCCATTCTTCATTCTCCTTCCCACGTTCACAAGACACATAAAAAAACAGAGACCACACAATTCAAACCGATATAAAAATTTTTGGGACGATTACAAAGAATTCTGTCGGGAACGAACGAAGGTGAAACCGGCATGTTCAATGCTCACGACAGAATCCAAATATGAAAATGTAAATTTGTGTAAAAAAGCTGTTGGAACAAACGATAATCTAGTGAAAATTGTTATTGCTCGTGCATAAAAACCGTTGTGTATTGTAAGACAACATACACCGATCATAAAAGACTTCTTGTGTGAATACTAAAAAACTTCGTTGGCACAAACTATAAAAAGGTAAATAATACATTCTATTTAATTAATATTTTCCATTTTTATTTACTATATCCATTACATTTGAAACATTGGGTCGACTTATTCGGGTTAATTAGGGTATCGTATCGCTCGCCATACGCGCGCGAACCTAGAGACAGTCTGCTTCTCTTTCTTATTTTTTAACTACCGCTCGAGGTCTACCTAGGGCCATTCGGCCAAACGAGGACATGAAACGCACGAAATTTAATATTCAAATTCTGTCGCCCATAACATAAAGGTATGAAAATTACACCTTTCGCTGTTTATTTTTTGTAGCACGGTGAATAGAAAATTGTGGTTATCTTGGCGATACTCAGTTGGCTACATTTTCACTGTTCATGTTTGCGTTGTAGTTTTTTTTTGTTGATATTGTTTAAAAAAATAATTCGTGGTTCAGTGCCCTTATGGATTCATCCGAAAGTTCAACATTATAAAACAATTTTCTCTGTTGGTGAATGTAACTCAAGAAATGTTACCTAATAATATTTTTCTAGTAATAGTTGATGTAAAAGTTTTATTCTTTAAACTTGTCTAACTTGAGACTTATTTATTATATTTGCAAGTTACCGATAAACCCATTTTAGCAACGCTATTTCTGGATTTTAGCTTTTGCCATAATTAATTGCCAGTGCACCCAATTAAAATTACATATTTTGCATTTACGAAAAATGGTATGGTCACACTACTAATGATTTATTGACGCTTATTCACGTAGAATTTGGTTAAAAGTTCTATGATAACAAATATACATTGAGTTTTGAACTAAAGCAGTCACGTTTGTTTACATTTAGTAGCGCCATCATCAGAGAATAAAATCGCGAACAATTTGCTTTGCAGAGTTGCTTCTATGCACGATAATTTTACGTCATTTGTTATGTGGTTTGTGCTGGATCTGAATGATGGTACACTGGCAACTGAACATTTTGTCATCCGGGGTTAAACAATCCGGTATACCAAATGAACTTCGATAAACCATGAAGGATAAGCAGAAATCATTTATTTCAAATATAACACAGCTAGTTTTTCAAATATTTAACGTGATGAGCGATGTGTTCGCCGATAAAAGACGAGATGTAAAAGTAACTGTGGTTGTAACCTTCCCGTTGATTAAGGACGACCGGCGTCCTCACTGATTTGCAAGCTTCCACCAATCTCTCGGGATTAAGTTGAAACAAAAAATCATCCGCTAGGCCCTGAAATTAACGAAAATAGCGTAATTCCAGTGTAGGTCGTTTTGTTAATTACCTGGTCGATTAAAATTTCTAGAGGCGGGCCGTTATAATTTTTAACTAATTCCGTGGCGTCCCACTCGTTCCACCGTCCGGTCTCTTTGGGTCCTAAGTAACCCGAAAAGGCTTTGATTCCCCACGGGCACTCGCTCGGATTACAAATTGGCGCAAACGCTGATACGGATTTAAACAGGCCTGGATTTTTCAGCGCCAAAATTAACGCCCCGTGACCCCCCATGCTAAAATTGAATTCCAATAATGCCCTCGCACGGATGGTGCATGCTAATGGTTACCTATGGCCCATGATGGATTGTTTAGCGGCGTTGATCTTAAAATTATCCTTAATCAAATCGATCAACTCTGTTCTAATATAATCATACATCTTGTAGTTTTTCCTCCACGGTTCTTGGGTTGCGTTTAAATAGAAACCGGCTCCAACTCCGAAATCCCACGACTCGGAGTCGCCGGGTATGCTTAAGCCTCGGGGCGACGTGTCTGGGTTTACGATTATCACCCCGTGTTCGGCGGCGTATCGCTGGGCCCCCGCTTTTTCTATGAAGTTTGCCTCCGAGCATGTCAGTCCCGAGAGCCAATAGATAACCGGAAGGTTTTTGTCCTGTTCGGCTTGCGGCGGAAGATAGATACCGAATTTCATGGTACAGCCCAGAACTTTGGATTCATGGCTGTAGACCTTCTGGTGGCCGCCGAACGATTTATTTGATGAAACTTGCGTAAGGGAGGCCATGATTGAAATCTCACGTAAAAACCACTTTATCGTAAGAGACTGGGAGTAAAATCGCAAAAAACCTTGAAATACGAGGTCAAAAGTGCAATGTTGTGAGGTTATCAATACTGTTTACGAATGATGCAGTGCGATTAACTTCAATCACAACCGCAAGTAACAGTCACGGTGATGACGTATGAATGTGACCAACTGACGTGTGACACTATGACATCCAAAATTATCCGTTTCGCAGTCTATGGTATTCCGCTCCTGTAACCTATGTAACTATCTTGCGTCTTAAGTAATTTAAATTAAAAAGTACTATGATATAGTTTTTATTTACATTATAAACTTAAAAGACGAAAATTTTAATAAATTGTGTCAAGTTTGAGGTTTGGAACACTGCTTCGATTGTCTTCAATTACAATTGTGTTTCTTAACATATCATCAACTTCCACAAATAAATATCTATAGTCATATTTTCCCCTATCATTCTAAAATTCAATCGTAATTATGTCAATCTTTGATATATTTGAACTATTTACCTCAATCATATCCAGATGGGCAGTTCCGCTACATGCTGTCCCTTTCAAGTGAAACTTCATTCTTAAATGTTGTACCCCATCGGAATCTTTATAAGTGACGTGACTAATATGTTGCCTACGACCTGCAACACCCTTAAATATATTAAAGCCGTACCAAGCGACCACCATAGAACACCTCTTCTGGTTTCTTCCCCATAGGCTTTAATCGGATATCCTAATTTGTCCTCGATCCGTGGATCTTCGATGCATTTTTTCACTGCTCGCGAATACACACTGTTCGGGCTCTTACTAGAAAACAGTTCGCTGAAAACGGCATAAAACAAGGAACCAGTTACACCGACACCGAGCAAAATAATCCCCAAATAAGACGCGGTCTTTGTCGTCTCTTTCACTCGTTCTCCCAGCGGTTTCACGTTAGTGTCAATATCACCTCGAGCGGAAGACGACACTATCGATTTCTCGTGTTTTTTCCTTTTGGCGTACAACCGGCCGCAAACCAAAGGACAATACTTTGTCACGAAAAAGTTCCTGGAGGTACATGCCGCTTTCAAGGAGAACATTTGAAAAGTAAAATTAACGGTCCAGTTGGACACTTATTTTTCGCCGGGTGAGGAAAATAGAGAAATCCTAAAATTTCTAATTATTTGATTAGAGTTAACCTCATTTTTCAAAATTTGCCTCTGCTCCTTGGTTTATTGATTTAACTGACGGGGGGACACTTGTCATAGGCGCTCGCCCTCTGCCGCCATCGTAGGTGAGTCCACCAGTGAACAGAAAAACGAAGTACTAGTTATAAAATTATAAAAAAAGTTATAATGTTTTGAATTCGTAGTCGAGAAAAATTAATACTTAACTATTTATAGAATTTTGAAGTAAGAATCCCATGGAAAAAGAAGAAGAACTAACTTAGTTTGGTTGAAAAGTGTCGTTGCTTCTGCCCGGTTCCAAAAAATTGTAGAAATAGGTTGTTAAAAGAAGATTTTGTTTTGTACATTTATTTTCTGAAGTGATAGAGGCGCGGTGCCTATAATTTCGAGAAATAGTTTTCGTTTTACGCGGATGTACACGGATTTGTGATGTTATTCCATGATGTGTATGTTAGCACGGTTTCCGGATGACCTCTACTCACGCTGGTAACCAGGCCGGATGCGATCGGATATCCCGTATATGATAATTGCGGGAGTCGTATGAAGAAGCAGCTCGTTATTTTGTGTAGGATGATGGCGGATCATTCCATCCTTTTTTTATGAACGCTCTTTTTAAATAGTTTATATTATTTTTAAGCTGGAAAATTGCCAGAGTTGCAGAATTTTTTTTTTTGCGATCATAAAGATTCAAAATAGTGTCCTATTTGAAAAGATTAGAGGAAGTAAATAATATTATCGAAAGGGTAACTTAACATTTTTGGAAATAACTATTTACACAGAACTCAAATGGAGAGCATTTGACATAGTGTTTTTTCGGAAAAGATTAGAGCCCTAGTTCCTAAAGCATCCAGCTAAATTTTGAAAGTGGTCTATGACAAGAAAGTCTGGGAACCACCGGGTTGACTGCACATTTTGGTAACGTACATTCCAGAAATTAAACCCCTAACCATCCTTGGACTAGTATTAATTTTCTATTGGCACAAAAGGTTTTCTTTGGAAAGGAGACATCACACAAAACCATCTCTCAGGTTTGACATCTGTATTAGCAAAGTTTTAAGATTTTAACAATCAAGAAACATAAGTTAAACTTAAAATTCTTACTTTAACTTCTAGTATTAGGTGTGAATAAAAAAAGGAAAAATTTAGTCCGACACAGCTCGGACATCTTCTTTAATTTCTGCGGCTTTTGTTTGCTCATCTGCATCGATCTCAGCGTCGGGGCTTCTTCCATCCTCTGCATCTTGAATCGCCATAGGCTCCACCTCGTTTTTATCTTCAGAGGGCGCCACCGCCGTCTCTGCTTCCGGGACGCTTTCCACAAGTTCGTTCTTCTGGCTATCACCCTGCTTATCAATGTTCACACTCATGTCAGAGTTCTCAATTTGCATCTCAACTTCTTCTGGATCTGCTGTCCTAGACTCGACGGCATCGACTTCCAAAAGGTCTCGGTCCTTCTGCGAGGCTCCATCAACGTCCGACACTGGAGGCTCTACTTCTTCCAAAGGTTTCTCGCATTCATAATTTGTTTCTTCCTCTGCCACGTTGGTTTCCTCAGCACCTTCTTCCTCCACCGGGACCGAGCTGGCGTTCGCGTCCTCCTGTGCGTGTGGTTCTTTGACCAGTTCGACGCAATCAAATTCCTTTACTTCTTCCGCTTTGTCGTCGTCGGGGACGACGACCACAACCTCCTCGTCCTTCTTCACCGCCTCCTCCGGCTTACGGACCAGACCCAACACGTCGAGCATGCTGTGAGTGACGGACGCGCCCTTCGCTTCTTGCAGAGAGGGATACGCGGACTTTCTCTCGCATATCGCCAGATGTTTGGCCATCTGGTTACCGTCCCCGTTGCCGTAGCCGCACACGCAGAACATCTCGGTGGGTAGCGGCTCCTCCGCGACCGACGGTGCTGTCGGGTTTTTGCTGCACTTCGCGTTGTGCTCCTGCATCGCGTTCGAGCAGCACGTCGAATACTGACAGTTCGGGTTTTGACAGCTCTCGAACGATCTGGAACAAAACGCGGGCTGTTGGTTGTTGGCGGGTCGTCTTCCCGTAAATGCTAGAAGACCCTAACCTACACCCGAGCTGATTTGCCAGCGAAGAAGTGCCAACAACGTTTGAGCTCAACTAACCTCCTCCAAAGGGCTGGAACAGAACCACCGAATGTATACGGGTGTGCCATAGAGGTGATTCAACGTAGTGTTTTTTTTTTTTTTATAAACACTTCAACAAGTCAATGGTGTGCTAGTAGATATAAAACAAAGGTTAGAAGAACATTACAAATGAAAGCGTAACATTGGTGGAAGCCATTTACAAAAAAAACTCAAGCGTGCTCTACGCGGGCCTACAGACACAAATGTTCCCCTTAAAAGTTTAGAAGAAATGAACAATTCAACGGAAAGGAAATAACTTCTTATCCTGAAACACAGCAGTTTTTTTTCTGAAACATTTGTGAAAATAACTGTGTCAATGGACATAAAATGGTGTTTTTTTCTGCAAGGGTTAGAGGAACTGAACATTGCAACGGAAAGTGTAACACTGCTGGAAACTGTTTACAAGAAACTCAAATAAGATCAGAACAGGTTCAATGTAAAAAGAAATGAAAAATTTAAAAGAAACGAACAATCCAACGGAAATAACTACTTTTCCAGAACTCAAAAGGTGTGCTGGTGGATAAGTTTCAATTAAATTGAATTTTGTTCATTGTTTATGAGGAAATACAATGATAAAATGAAACAAGATGTTAATAATAATAATATAAAAAATGAAGAACCTGATTTGTGGAATATTTTCCTGAAAACCGTTATAAAGGCAAAAGATATTGACTATTAAGAAACGACCTATGTTCTACAATGAACATCAACAACCCTGCAAAGATTTCCAATTTGTTCACAAAAACGTTTTAGTTTTAATCGAAACAGTAGGTGGGAGGTTAGAGGGCTGTCGCGGGGTCATGGGCATGCCGAGTGACGTCATGATCCCCGAGATAACCTTCTTTGACAAATTGACATTTTTCTTCCCGTCAAGGGAAGAGTGGAGAGAGACAAGAGACAGAGTCAAGACCATCCCAGAGTCGGCTCCTGGGATGGACTTGCCTGGTACACGGACGGGTCCAGAATGGGAGATCTGGCCGGAGCTGGAGCGTAGTGCGAGACAACGGGATCGAGCTTGTCGGTCCCTCTGGGTCAGTACTGCACTGTGTTTCAGGCGGAATTTTTCGCTTTATTGATGGCGGCCAGAGAGGTGCTTCGGCTCAACCACGGAAGCAGGTGAGTCTTCTTCTGCTCGGATAGTAGGGCTGCACTTTAGAAATGCAGAACTCGAGTGGGATTATCATTGGTTCAATCACAAAGTGGACATAAAGGACAGTTAAAATGATGATTTTGTCTGAAATGAACGGAAGGATTATGGCACTTTAGAGGGGGTTGCCAAAATGTTTAAAACATTTTCATAGTGCACATACTGGAAAGAGTTTCTAAGAACTAAGCACAAGAATAAAAGCCCACCGCACTTTCGATAGGGTGCACAAGTGGAAAACTAATCAAAACTGGCGAAATTTCTTTACTGACGACTTGGGTGATTCCCTCCGCAACCCCCCATGGTGACGACCGAGCTTCGAGCTCTTAACCCATGTAGCAAAAAAATGGAAAAGCACTCACGGGAAGTGTTTGGATGAGTCGATCGGAGTGACGCACTCCTTGCAGCACAGATTCTTCGGCAGGTTGAAGAACAACTTCTCGAAGTTGATGCCCTCCGCGTCGCACGGGTACTTGTCCATCTTCGACTTGGGTACCATGACGCCGTTTCTGGGCGCGCTCCACGGTATCAGGCCGTTCTTGCCGCGTTGCGACACGTGCATCTTGGTCTGGTGGTCTTTGTAGACGTCCTTCTGGACGAACCATAGGTTGCACTTGCCGCATCTGCGCGCGAACTGTTTGCGCTGATGTTTCTGCAGGTGCTGGATGAAGAAGGTCATGTTCTGAACGATATTCCGCGACGAACTGAACACGGTCGTCGATTTGAGACAGAACGGACACTGGATCGTCGGACCGCTGTCGTGCTGGTTGTAGAAGTGGTCAATCGCCTGTTTGTGGTTCGAGCAGCGGTGACCGCACGTACCGCACTGGTACGGCAGCTCCGACGGGCAGTGCTCTTTCGACATGTGCTTGCCGAGCACGAACGGGTTCATGTACTGCGTCTCGCAGATCAGACACACGAAGCCGTTATCGAACTTCGTCTCGGTCGGATGGGAGATCGCTGAAGAATTATGCGAAATCGATATTTTGTTTGGTTCGATTTACTTACTTAAAGAAGTCTACCTAACAGGCATGAAGCCCACCTAACAGGTAGGTTGTAGTTCAAATTATTAAGTAGTTCCAGGGACATTGCAAGTTATGATGATGTCACGAAAAAAAAAAAAAAAAACAAGAGAGTAGGAAAAAACTGAATTTAATAATTATAGTTAATGCGGCAAGATTGCGAAAAAAAAAGTCCAAAATTAAAAAATATTTGTTCTTCCGGTGGGCAGAAAGAATGTCTCACTACAATAAATAAGAACAACACCGTGTCTTTATCAAATTAGATAAATAAATAAAGACGCTGTGTTGTCGAAACAATTGTCATATGAAAATATATAATTTCGTGAAAAACTGAACTTTTAAGTTCTTAATAAAGAAATAAAAATAATATGCTACGCCGATGACGCAGTAATCATCTCGGAAGACGAAGACTATCTATATAAATTCTATATCTATATCTATATAAATTCTAACAAATAGCGAAAAAAAAAAAACAAATTCTCTTACAATATCTAAAGAATCGAGAAGATGTAAATATCTAGGGACAAACATAACAAGCGATAAAAACCAAAAGAATGAAGTAAAAGATGAAACAACAAAGGCAGCATTAATATCAGGATTTAATTTTGCGAAATAAATGTAGGAGTACAAGAAGTAAAATTCGAATATATAAAACTTGCGTAAGGCCGGTCATGACATACGCAATAGAAACTAGAACGGAGAGCGCAACCACTAAACGGCGCTTAAGAACAACGAAGATCAATAACAGGATATCCGTTATTCAATTGGATGAGAAATGAAGAAATAAGGGACATGTGCAATATTCAGGATGTAGTAAAATGTTGACAGAATGCCAAATGAACGATTAGAAAAAAGAAACCGACCCGACCTCCTGGACGGCCACCACCATAAGATGGTATGAATGACATCTCAAATACTCCGCGCAAACCCTCGCACAAGCTCGACTATTTGCTGGCATTGTATTCATTTCACGGTGTAATATCACGCTGTATTGTAGTCTGAAATTGATTAATATTGAATTGTGTGATATACTTCGACCAGAAATATAGTGCTTTTACATCCGACCCCGTCATTAACGTTGCCTACTGTTTATTACTCCAAAACAACACTAAGAAGCGGGATATTCTTGAAACATGTGCATAAAAAATAAGTACAAAGTAACAATTTATTGCGTTCTATTTCATTACATTTCTACATAGTATCATTATTAATATACAAAATATTAAATATAATCATAATAAAGTATCAGTTCACTTTATAAGCGCCGTAGATTATACGAATAATTAGATCTGCAAGTTGCTCTTTAAAAATTCGTTAAGTACCAGCATCTTCATCTGCATATTTATCTGTGTTCTTATGACGTACCTTTACCTATTACAAATATAATCTACAGTCTTAGAAAAGACTGTTGTTGTTAGCAAATCATGGAACTATGTAGAAAACACAAAAATAGAAGAAGAACAATGTTGTTACTTCGACAGGCACACAAGACAAAAATGATTATTTTCAAACTTACCTGTCATATAAATGGAGTACGGGTATTTACCCGTTACCCTTCGAACTATCCAGTGAAAACAGGCTCGCAGGGTCAAAGCTCGAGAATCAGGTACATAAATAAGTACATACTGGAAGGATCACAGTTAAATACCTCCGTAATATATACGAACGATGTTAAAATAAACGATTTTACTTATTCGAAAATACACTGCAAACGGTCCATTTGCGTTTTCACGTTTCTACAAATATTCGTTATGCTCGTTCTCGAGCAACATCTACTTAATGCAGAATAAACACCTGTCGGGATGGGTTTTACCGCGGTCTAGCGAAGATCTGAAGAAGAAACGTGAAATACACTATATTTTTGGTCGTATTATATAAACACGGCAATAGAAATGTGCCGAAATATTTGATTCATTATTAAGGGATATCGCTGAAGAAAAAGACTTATAGGCAATTAAACCAGTCGATTATTTAAAATAAACAAATAAATAAATAAGATGGCGCACTCTCGTTCCACTCACCGATGTGCTTCATCAAATCGTTGGCGGTTGGGGCGCTCGTCAGGCAGTACCGGCACATCTGGCCGTCGGTCGAAACGTTGTGGGCGTGCTTAAACAGGTGATTCATCAGCACGATGTTGTTGTCGAAGGACTCCTTGCACATCGGACACTTCATGTTGAGCGTGATGTTCGTCTTGGGCTGGTAGTGCGATATGGTACCGTAGTAGTAGTTCTCGAGCGGTACCAATTGCTCGGGCACGTCGGGGGACGTAGACTTGGGCGGTCTCGCGACCTGTACCGCCTCCGACGCTTGCGTCGTCGTTTTCGGTGCCGCCGCCTCCGACGTCGCCTCTTTCCGTTTCCTCTTCTTCCCGCAGTCGATCGTTTTCGCGGCTCCCGTCGACGATGGCGCGGCCGCCGCCGCCGAGGCGGCGATCGCCCAGTTCTTGAAAGGGTTCATCGCGACCCGGTTCAGTCTCACGATGAGACTTTGAGCCGACTCGAATCGGGTCTGCTCGGCCAGGTGGATGATCAGGTTGTCGAACGCCTGCATGGAGGTGGTACCGAACCATTCGCGCCACACGAGCTCGTCTAGGAACTGCTGGATGATCTGTCGCGACAATAGGGAGAGGGTGTTTTGGAACATGCGCGGCACGATCCGTCGCAGGTACTCCATGATCGTGCGGTTCGAGTTGGTCGTATCGCCCGATGTGGTCTGCGCGACGTGCGTGAATCCCATCTGATGCAGGGTCGCCTTGTCGACGGTGAGGTCGGTGATGATGGTACTCGCGGGATGAACCCACCGAGCGAGCGGCTCGAGGATCTTCGAGAAGCGTTTCCTGTAGTTTCGGTCCCCGTCCGCTAGGGGCTCGATGGCCCGCAATCGAATCAGCTTCGATTGCGTCTCCAGGATGCCCAACACTTCTACCTGGAAGCCGGGAGGGTTTTGTACGGCAAGGAGCGACGAAGGAATATGAGAACGCGTTAATTCGCCTACTTGGACTCGCACCACAATCAACTCAATCACCACAAACTATTAACCATAATAAACCACTTATGTCGGAATGGGGTATGCCCGGAAAGACGCCCCTTAAGTATTACTGACTTTGTCTAAAGAAATTAACTCTAAACGTCGAAAAGGGCATAGAACCAAATTAACATGGTGATAATAAGGAAGAAACTATTTAAAATCAAAAAATTGACACAATAAAGAATGAAGATAAATGAAATTGTTTGCCACTTAAGTTGTCACTTATTTACAACCACGCCTCCCACTCATCAGTCGAGACCATATAATTAACTACTACTACTACTACTACTAGCACAATAAATAAGAACTAAAAGTTCAGATTTTCACGAAATTATATATTTTGACATGACAACACGGTGTCTTTATCAAATGTAATATTTACAAACTACCTACTACTATGTATACCGAAAAACGACAATAAAACCTTAATTAATGTTGTTGTGAGAATTTAAGTTCAATAAAGGAGAGGTATTTAAATCTAATTGATCGTTAAGCAATACATTTGAATGTCTCATTTTGTTAATCTCCATGGCTTCCAATAAATTTAATTTTCTACTTTTTGTGGCAGTACAGTACTACTGCTAGGTATATAAAGGCCCTGCCTATGTTGACAGTACTTTTGAAGTTACCATGGATAAAAAACGCCATAACACCTTAGATTTCAATCAACAGGGCAGCTGACAGTTCATCGGTTCGGCAGTTTTTCCGTAGTATTTCGTCGAACTCTGACTCTGATCACGTTAAATTTAAAAGGTCAAAACGAGTTAGGTGTGTGAAAATCTCCGTCAATGAAGAAAAAGATCAATTTCTCTCGTATATGATATGCTTTAGTTTCGACTCCATTTGGAGTTATATGGGATAGATTAGAAAAAAATTCTAAGCTTCCTACCTAAATTTTTGCGTCTTCTGGTTCAAGAATTTTTTGAAAAATAATGTTTTTTGCAGACCCTTGCACACGCGATTTTTTATTTTTTTAGAATACTTTCCGACCCCCAGCCCCCCCATTTTCAAAAAATTCTAAGCTTCCTACCTAAATTGGTTCTAAAATGTAATGATTAAATAGTAGCATATATTTAATGGTACTATAAAACAAATTTTACTCAACTATGTTTGTATTTTTACTTTTGAAAAAGCGACAAAAGATATACTAGAACCAATATTAAGATATACCGGTATATGCGACAACACACCTAGAATGCTGCAGAATCCAGGCTGCAGGACTCTAGGATTCTCTTATTACCGGTATCACTCAGTTATCTACATATTCAAATCGGGTAAGAGAGGAGGGAGATAACCAGCTATTAACGTTGTGAAATCTCAGCGATCTTCAATTTTCCGATTTTCGAATATAGTTGTAATAGGGAAGATTACAGTCCTAAAAATCTGTACAATAAACAACAAAATTTCAGAAATTCAAAAGTGCTGAAATCCATGCACCGACCTTTCCCATTTAAGTAGTATATCTACGCGGTTTCCGAGTCACTTCTCGCAAATTGTTATTTATTTTATATACGAGGCGTGTTCAAAAAGTAAGGTGTCTTTTGTAATTGGACAGGCTATGTACGTTCGATCTATTTACAAAACTTCTGGATTAAGTTATGCTCTGAGGGAGCCAATAGGACGATTGGTGAAACGTTAGCAACTTCGACTCAACAACAACAACCGACGCAGGGAGAAATCCAGAAATCCGGAATTCCAGGAAAATTACATTCGATCTTCGAATTTTGGTTTTGTTATGTTGGTACACACGTCCCTAACAAATGCTATAAAAAAAATGGAACAAAGAATTTGCATAAAATTTTGTTTAAAAAATGGAATAGCGCATATGCTGAATCTACTTTGAGCAAAAAAAAAACGTTTATATGTGGTTGTTGTTATAACTGACGAAGAAGGGAAACAAGTGATGTTGAAAACTCGTCGTATCACTATTACAGAAGTCGCTGAAAAAAGTACGTCGAGTTCGATCAAATGTCAACGTTATGTCGACCGCTTTCTTTAATTATAGTGCATCAAGAGTTACTTACTACAAGTGGGAAAACAATTCATTGATTTTGCCAATCACTTATCGTTGCTTGTGCCTAACTTTTTGGCCAAAAACAAAACCACAATCATGCCTCAGCCACAGTATTCACCTGCAACCTTTTCCTGTTCCCAAAGCTCAAAGAACCCATGAAAAAAGGAGGACCGAGGGAACAGAAAAAATCGCTGAAAGAACTCTACCGGAAAGTGATTTCCAGAAGTGCTTCGAGGATTGGAAACAAAATCTGGGTGGGATTATTTTGAAAGTCACCTTACTTTTTGGAAGTATGCACAGGAACTATCAAAATTCAATAGCAAATTACATTTATTCCATTTTACCGCTATTAACAGGATCGATTGCTTTTCGTCAATTTTACCTTTACTTGGCGCGAGTTGCCGTCCTGGGACGTCGTCCCCAGGGAGATCACGCCCACTTCGACCTTGGTTTGAGGCCCGCCCAGCTGCCGGATATGCGTCTGGAGGGCTACGCTGCAGATGGACCTCAGCCAAGTGTACATTCCTTTCACGTACAAGTTATCCACCTTCACCCACTGCGTGACGTTCTGGATGTTGGTCTGACACGCCCAGTGGTACAGTATCTTCAGGATGACAAGTGGAGGATGAGGCGATCCCTCGAATATCGATCCGCTAAACACCGAGACGAACCGTTGGGGGCAGCACTCGGATATCCACACGTAGCCCCCGGAATAAGGAAATTTGGATACGTCGCTGTACATGCCGAGTTTCAGTTGGTTGTTCACGTGAATCGAGCACTTTTGCTCCGACTTGACCAGTCCCTGCTGTATAAGCCTGCGCACGATTATTTTGCTTATGTAGAAAATCCGAACCGTACCGTGGCCATTTTTTCGTATTTTGTTTTGAATCAAAGTAAATCCCACATCCATATGGGGAGCGGGGAAGAAGAGTAATCAAATAAGCAACAACAGACCAGTTCACACTGGTGTTTTATTTTGGTATCAGCGGATTTAGTCTTCTTCTAGTCTGATGATATAAACTTTCGTAAGTTGCTATTTTGGACTAAATGGCGATGTGTGAATAATCCGAGATCTCTTGTATTATGTTCGGGTGACGCACAAACGATTGACACTTAAACAAGGATAATTAGAGGAAACTTTACTCCTATCACTGATGCGCCCTATATATTTAGACTCCCACTGGATTTCCTTCATGTTGAAACAGACGATTATGAGCGTTTAAAAGGCAAACAAAAAGATTAGTTTATAGAAAACACGATGTTATCTATTACTACTAGTTTAGATGGTACGACTTAACAAAAGGACACGGCAGAGAGATGTATACATGAAGTGTGCTGGTCTGGAATGGCTATCTTACTCGCTACATTTGAAAACTGCCGTAAGTACTTCTGCCGTACTTCTAGAGCCGTTTAGCTGAACTTGAGGATTTTGAAAATACTGCGTCAGCCTAGTACATCATAAAAAAAAAAGAAAAAATTTCCCCTGCGGAATTTGCACTTTCTCACTTAATATTCTTCTGCTCTCAAGCGACGATATGCTATTTTTACTATCAAGAAAAAAAGATTACACGGTGGTTTTTTGGTTGTTCTTTGATAGACCAATGAAGTTTATTTAAAAAGCCGTAACCATTGAAGGATTCAGATAGAGATTTTGAATTTTGCTCCCTTTTAATAGTCCACGGTCCGTGCAACACAATGAAAAATGGCGACCACCCGAACTCGATTTTCATCCGTTTTTCGGAAATTTGCTATAGAACTGCGCGGGCGGGGGGGGGGGGGGATTGGAGCTACCGCCTTCCGAGTTCGTCAACAAGGTACTGTTCGACTAAAAACTTGGAAGACGCGCTTTTATCGAAAACCGTAAGTCCGATTAGGAAAATTTTTGCAAATTATACAGGGTGCGTCGGTTACGCGGGAAAATCCGAAAACGCCCGGAAATCGGCTTTCTCGGGAGGAAATCATCACCCTAACTCAAAAACCGCGGTGAACAAGATTGCTGTCGAAAAATTGTCAGCAGCTTTTTATTATAAAAGGCAAGAGCTTCGCGGTTTCCTGTGGTAAAGGGACGCATTGTTTTTCTATCGTTCTCCTGCGGACCACAATGGAACTTTCGGAAAATCGATGTAATTTAATTGTGCATGCACCCTGTATAAAATGTCCTTCATATCTCGTCGAACTTCAATGTTACAGCAAACATCGGTAAATATTAAAATTTGCACAAACAATAGCAGTGTCGAATGACATTTTTTCAAACATCTCGCGCCCTGTATAATTGACGAAACCTGAAACTCTCCCACGACACGGTTTACGATACCGTTCAAATAAAATTATCCCATCTTTAACGGTTTTTCATTTATCGCCAATAATTTACTCACAAAAACGGAAATTTTTAGGATATTTTAGATTTTTTGCCCAGGGTGTGTCCTTTACCCTGTATATGATTCAATCATTGTTCGAAGTAGAGGTTATATATAGCCCTGGATTTTCCACGCTTCCTAATTCAAGAATTTTTTGAAAATAGTAAACGGTTTTCGAGAAAATAAGTTTTTCCTGAAACCATGCAGCGCGCCGTAATAATCAATGACGTCATCGCGTCTTGAGAGCGCCCGAAATAACGATTTCAATATGGATTTTTTCAAATATGCCGAGCAGCGTAATAATTTACTCTGTAAAAAAACAATTTTCTATATCTTTTAGATTTTTTACTATAATTTGAAATCCCTGTAAATAATCGAAAAAGGGAATTAAATAAATGACATCGCAGTGGATCTTCTGCGTATGCCGGTTAAAGAATTTTGCCAATCGGATGAACGATTATGGAGGAAAATATATTTTTCTGGAAGCTAAAATTACCAAAAAAATTTTTTTTTAATATTTTTAAAAAATACTTGCTAATATTTGATTGCGCCCAATTTTTCCAGTTTAAATATGGAGACGGACTTTTACTCTCTGCTAAATTTGGTTGGTATCTGCAAATTTAGGACACTTAACACATTTCTCATTTAGAACAGAATATCGGGAACACCCTGTACATTAGGTGAAAACTTTAAATACAAAAGTTTTTGCTATCTATGCGGGCTATATCGCAATATAAAAGAAATTGAGATCTGACTCATAGTCTTTCAGTTATAACCAATTTTCAATAATAGGGGGACCCATTTTTCAGTTTTTTTGAATTTGCGGCGCACTCTGTATATTTTTGAAAAATTGTCTTTTGCGTCTTCTGGTTCAAGAATTTTTTGAAAAATAATGTTTTTTGCAGACCCTTGCACACGCGATTTTTTATTTTTTTAGAATACTTTCCGACCCCCAGCCCCCCCATTTTCAAAAGGTTCCGTCACGGGGCAAGGCTGCATATATGTGCCAAATATGAAGTCGACTGCTTCAAATTTCGGACACTTGTCGTGTTTCATAGCCAGGTCCAAAAAAACAGTCGAAAATCGCGAAAAAAAGATGGATACGGCGTCGGATCAGGGCCATTTCTTACAAGCTTATGTGCCTTGTGGATTTTTTTAAAAGAGGGCAAATTTTAATTTTGTAGCTCCCACGGTTCGAAAGTTATTCAGGAAAAACCAAAAGACGAGAACGGAGAACGGACAGACAAAAAGAAAAATTTAGGACCTAGCGTTACCGAGATATAAAATTTTTATACGAGCGCAGATACTTTCGAAAAATTCGATTTCATCGATTTTCGAAAGTAACAAGGCGATTCGATTTGAAAGTGTCGAAAAATCGTGTTATACGCGGTGAGCCAAATACGCCCCCACGCACACCTCGGACATACCATTCGGTGAACTTGGTCGGCGCGTACATCAGTACCGATTTGACCTTCGCGTCCAAGGTCGACCGGTCGGTGTTTACGTCGACGACTCGGAGGTGGGGCCTAGCGACCACCACTAACGACGGATACGTTTTGCCTTGAAGCTTGTTGAATGAGATCTCGCGACTGTCCGGCAGGGGTTTGCCGTCGTCGGAAGTGAGATCGACGAACGCCTTGAGCCTGAGGTTACCGCCGTTTGTGCTCAGCCCTCCCTCCACGTTGGTCTCGGTGGGTTTGGGGTTCGCGCCTCCCGAACCCGACTGGGATTTGTCAATATTAATATCAATTGTACATCGATAAGTGTTAATTAATTACCTATAATGCGACGAATACAGGAGAATTAGGTAAGATATAGACAGTTGCCATATGAGATAGTTCGAGTGAGTTGCCTTGCAGATACGACCAAAATTAAGTATTTTACTGTACCTTAACCGCAGACCTTCGTACGCAGGTCTTGCCTGAGATGGACCGTAACGAATACTTGTAGAAACTTTTATTTGAAAGGTAAATGGACCATTTTAAATTTGCAAGTAGAAGCATATGGTGATATAGTAATAATCTTGTTGCATTGAATGTTAATGACCACCCTTTGATAATCCCATTCAAAAGCAATTGGTCACTTTCTTATATCTATGAACAGACTATACCTGATTCTCGAGCTTTGACCCTGGCAGGCTGCTTTCACCGGATAGTTCAAAATGTCAGGGTAAGTCCCTGTACTCTATTTATCTTACAGGTAAGTGCCTGTCGATTAACAACATTCATTTTCATGTATTTTTATGTGATAAAGGTACGTCATAAGAATACAGATAAATATTTATTAGAATCTTACGATTAAACATTTTTCAAAGATTCCCGTTTTTTAACACTTTAAAACGTGGAGACATGGAACACAACGCAAAATTTGACGACGAAGTGGAGATGGTAGGTTCGACCTAATGACAATTTAGAAGACGATCTACCTCAGCAATTAAAAAACGGTTCCATTTGTCTTCGGATGATAAACAAATTGTTTTGAATGTTTACAATTTTATAAGAAATTCAGAAGGGGGACTAGCGGCAGCAATAAAAACAAGTTAAATGACCAAAGTTCCGAAGTCAACTGTAAGAAAAATTGTTGCAAATGGGATAGTCAAGAGCAAAGTGAGAGAAGATGGTGGTAATTCGCGAGTTTTTAACGAGCAACACGCAGATCTAATTAGGCGTGTAATCTACGACGCTTATAAATTGTGTTTTGACCCTAGAAGAACTGCATACAAAAGTACTGAGCGACTTAAATATTAGTTGTGCCAACGTCAAGTGCTAATGGAATTTCAAAGAATTTCGCAATAGAGGTTGGATAATTTAAAGCCAATTAAAAAATTTCCAAAACAAAATAGGTCAATAGCGCATACACAACAAAACGGACATGAAATCTTGAGATTACCAGATCGAGATGATTTGGTCTGAGTTGAAAGCGTATATAAGACGAAATAACACGGCACCAAAATTTAGCGATAGTACTATAAACGTAATTCGGCAAAATATCAGTACAAAACTGATCTAACTGTGAAAAACGACTAATAAAAGAAGAAAATATTTTGGTGACTGATACTTTATTATTATTATATTTAATAATTTGTGTATTAATAATGATACTATATTGAAAAGTAATGAAATACAACGTAATAAATTGTTACTTTGTACTAAATTTTTATGTACACGTTTCAAGATTTGATCGACGAAAAAGAATGAAAACATATCCCGCTTGTCAGTGTGTAGGTAGATGACGGTTACGGGTAAAGGTTTTGCTCGGCAGGGTGTTCTATAAGGGGCTGCGGTTTTGGAGTAATAAACAGTGGGCAAAGTTAACCACGAGGTCGGTTGTAAAAGCACTATATTTCTGGTCCGAGTATATCAATACATTTTACATAAAGAGTTTCTTATTTGATATCCATCATACAACTAACCTGATAATTTTTGCAAATTCAGGTTTCATTATAAGGTAACGGATGGCAGTTTTTCTAGTTTTATAAGATAACTTTCTTCTTGGGGTTTTGGAAAAAATAGAAGTAATAAAAATTAATGTCCTATAGAAGACAAACATGCCGTAGCCCGAGAATTCAATAAAAAATTTTCACAGATAGGCAAAATTATAGCACTGGATATGTCTGATAAATCAACTTGTGAGTTTATAGAGGAGCCCACAGATATTGCAGAGAGAATTATGTTGTTGAAGACCGAAAGAATCAGTTGAAGACAATATAATAAAAAATGTATATTGTGCGAGTTTTTCATTCTGTTGTGGATAAAATGGACATGCTCGCCAACAAGTAATTATAGACCAATTTCAGTGCGAAAGTTTGATACAGTGGATACTGTTTTACTCTTGGAAAAGCTTGATAAGATGGGATGTCCAGCAGCTTCTAGAGTCACTGTTTATAGACAAATAAATTGATGTATCTCATTGAATTGAGTGAAACCTAACTGCAAAAGTGAACTTTGCAAGCAAGTCGATAATATTTCAAGTTGTTAAAAAAAAAAAAAACACATACCGGTATTTCTGTTGCTTTCGCGGTGACCTGCTTGACCTTGGCGGACGCTTCGGACACCCGGGCTCTGGTGGCCGGCGGCCCTATGGGCGACGCCACCATCCTCTTGTTCAACTGCTTCGAAGAGCTGACCACCGAACGGGTACCTATGCCGGAGGAGGCGGTACTCAGCACGGCGGTACCGGCACCGATAGCGGGAGTCTGTATTTTGTTCTTCCTGGTTATCCTCGACCGGGTCGCCACGTTCGACACACCCGCGGGCTGGACGTTCGCCGAAACCTGAACCTTCGACATCGGCTTGGAGGCTTGGGGCGTTTGGACCGTCCCCACGATGATGCCGAGCCGCGGGTCCATCACCAGCTGGTAACCGGCCGCCTGATGGCCGCCGCCCATGTTCGACACGCTGTTGTTTAAAATTATGTTCGACTGCTGCGTTTCTTTGACGACTGCAAAAACGATTTTACTTGTACTACCACCGCCCGATCGGACTAGAAAAAAAATTGACGGCATTAATTCAAACGCATATCGCTTTTGTGGCTCGAAAAGTGTAACAAATAGGCGAAATTGTTAAGAAACTGTCGATCGTGCTCTGAACGAGCACGAAGCACAACCTGCTAACGTGGAGAGTTCGAAACCATTGTAGATCAGCGTTTTTCTACTGCCACTACAGTAACCACCAGCTGGAATGTTGGATTTCCTATACTAGCAACAAATTGGTGAAGTAAACGATGAATTTCTGGATGCTTTTCTGTAAATTTTCCGCAGTCCGTGTTTGGCGCTTAGAAAAGAAGAAGAAGGTTAGGTTATGGTACGAAAGGAAAAGAATGTGCCGCGCGTGTCGCTACGAAACTCATATTACAAATTACTATTGTGTGTAAACTTAATTAAATAATTGAAAGGAGGTGGCTTTTACTTGATGAAAATCCATTTATCAAAATAAATAGGAACTAAAAGTTCAGATTTTCACGAAATTATATATTTTGACATGACAATTGTTGTCTTTATCAAATGTCATTTGATCATCAACATTTGATAAAGACACGGTGTTGTCGAAACAACTGTCATGTCATAATATATAATTTCGTGAAAATCTGAACTTTTAGTTCTTATTTATTTTGTTAATTAAATAAATCTGAAAATAAAGCCCAGTTTATTACGAATATACAACATTTCGTAGTAAATTTAATTCTTCTGCCTTCACACTATTTTTAAATTTATTTGACACCTCAGTTACAATGCTAGAGTTAACTCAATTTGTCTTTTTATTGTAATTATGTTTTCTGTTATGTTTGTTAGTTTATAATAATAAAATGGCCTGGCTAAATAGATTGCATCATGGAAATACTTTTCCAAAAACCAAAAAGCAATGGCGGCCATCTAACAATCTAATAAAAACCTTATTTAATTCTGGCTAATAAAGTATATACGTGGTATCATTATTTTTATTTATAAAATCTAATACAAATACCATCCAATCCCATTAGGAAAAAAGGATAATATTCTAATTGAACACTTACCACTAATGGTTTTCTGAATCTGCTCGCCCACTTCAATCAAAGTCGTCAGGTTCCCCTTGTAGATCACTTCGCCCTTGCACGATTTGATGAGTTCATCGAGTTTGGCATCCAGTTCTCTCTGCTCATTTTGGATGGCCTCGTTTCGCTGCTTCTGGCACGGCTCAAGGTCTTCAGGCCAACATTCCAGTTCTAGATTGTTTTCTCCTTCATGGTTAAGTTTCATGGGAGGCGGTTGCGAGACTTCAGCGACTGGCGGGGCCGGAGACGAAATACTTTTCAACACTAGCACCTCTCGATCTTTAACCATATTTTCTTGTCTGACAATCAAATTTCAACATCGCTGCAGAACTTACCATTACCGTCCGATGACTTTCGGTGAGTGAGTTTATACTTTTTTCTAGGTGGTGAGACCACCACAGGAATAGGAATCACTTCCTACAAGATAGAACACAAATAAAGGGCGATGCAAAATTGAAGTGTCCGACTTACGTCGTCGTCGTCCGGAATTTCGACGGCGTCGTCGTCTTCGTCTCCCAACAATATTTGCATTTGTTTTAGGGCCTCTTTACTCGCAGCCCTTCTGGATTGGGCTCGAGGTCGAACGACAACCTCCACTTGCTTTTTCGGCATGGTGACTCAAACTAAAAGTGAAACGAAGTAAAAAAAACCGCGGAGCTCGAGTTTTTAAATAACCGAAAGCATCTAATTGCGATGAGCACTTCTTAAAAAAATACGCATCAAATTGAAGAGTTTGATTACAACGACAGATATTTCTCAAGTTCAATATAAAATACGAGAAAGAAAATTCACCTGTTGTTCCAAGCGAAGGCGATATTAGGGTGGAAGTTAAAACGGTGGATAAAAAAATAATAACATTCAAAAACTGGGAACAATAATTGGGCCACAGAACAGACTATCACAGTTGGATAATTAAACTTGCCGTCGCATAGCTTATATTCTTCTTCTTTTGTGGGCGACATATAGACAGCCACATAAGCATAACGATAAAATTGCGTTTTAATAAATATTCCACTCAAATAAAACAAGGTCTATTAAATATCACAAATTTTAAACAGTACCATAACAAGAAAAATTAAACGCGTCCAACCGGCAGCGTTCCTGAAAAGCGGAGGGAAGACACCCAAATGCCGATGTCAGTTTTCGATTCTCGTTCTCAGCTGTCAAAGATATTTTGTAAATGGCGCCTTGAACACATTATGGCGGGGTGCCGTTGTTTTTGAGAGTGTGTCGGTTTTTTGTCAATGTGCTAGTCCTACGTTCCAGTGTCAGTTATGGCTAATGTAAATTTAGATAAAGAAGCATTTCACAGACGCTTGAAGAAATTGTACGCGGCATGGAAAGAATCCGACGGAGAAAATGGGTTTTCAAAAATGGATGCTCTTGTAGCCGCTGTCGGCAAAGACGACGAGGTCGTTTACAGCAAGTCCGGGGCCCTCCACACCTGGCTCCTGGGTTACGAACTCACCGACACGATAATGGTACTTACGGAATCGAAAATTCATTTCCTCGCCAGCAAGAAAAAGATTGATTTTCTACGACCAGCCGACACCAAGGATGAGAACAACGTCCAGCTCTCGTTGATAGTGAGGGACAAGGATAAAGACGAGGCCAACTTTACGACGTTGATATCGTGTATTAAGGAGAGCAAAAAGGGGAAAACGATCGGCGTGTTCCCAAAGGACAATTATCCCGGGCCTTTGATGGACTCATGGCGGAAAGCATTGAAGAAGGAGAATTTCGAGATGCTCGACATCAGTTCGCCGATCGCGTACCTCATGGCGCCGAAAGAGGACGCCGAAATTGTTACCATCAAAAAAGCGTGTCTTGTCAGCGTGGACGTTTTCACGAAATACTTAAAAGATCAGATAATGGAGATAATCGACTCCGATAGGAAAGTGAAGCACAGCAAACTGGCCGAAGGCGTTGAGTCTGCCATCCAGGATAAGAAGTATGTGTCGGGCGTGGATTTTAGCCAGATAGATATGTGTTACCCGGCCATAATACAGTCGGGGGGAAACTACAGTTTAAAGTTCAGTGCGGTCAGTGATAAAAACAATTTACACTTCGGCGCCATTATATGTTCCCTCGGGGCGAGGTACAAATCATACTGTTCCAACATTGTCAGGACTTTGCTGGTGAACCCGAACGATGTGATTCAGGCGAATTACAATTTTTTGTTGCAAGTGGAGGAGGAGCTGCTTAAAAAGCTGCAGGCGGGCGTCAGGTTGTCGGAAGTGTACGAAACTGGGGTCCAATATGTTAAAAAAGAAAAGCCCGACTTGGTGGATAATTTAACGAAAAATTTCGGCTTCGCGATGGGCATAGAGTTCAAGGAGAGCTCGCTGATTATCGGCCCCAAGAACGGTGTCCTCGCCAAGAAAGGCATGGTTTTTAATTTGAACGTGGGGTTTAGCAACTTACAAAACGGCGAGGCTTCAGAGAAGGAGGGCAAAACCTACGCGCTATTCATCGGCGACACCGTTATGGTGAACGAGGGGCAGCCCGCTTCCACTTTGACAGTCAGCAAGAAGAAAATCAAAAACATCGGCATATTTTTGAAAGACGATTCGGAGGAGGAGGAGGAGGACGCGGAAAAGGAAAATGAACAGAAACCGGAAGTGTTGTCCGGCGGGCGTGCTCGCAGGACCGCCGTGTTGGAGTCGAAACTCAGAACCGAGCATACTTCAGAGGAGAAACGGAAAGAGCATCAGCGGGAGCTCGCGGCGCAATTGAACGAGAAGGCCAAAGAGAGGCTTGCCAAACAGAGCGGCTCGAAAGACGTAGAAAAGGTCAGGAAGAATACCGTGTCCTACAAGAATGTCAATCAGATGCCGAAAGTGCCCGAGATTAAGGAGATGAAAATTTTCGTGGACCAGAAGTACGAGACGGTGATACTTCCGATTTACGGCGTTGCCGTCCCGTTTCACATTTCCACAATCAAGAATATCTCGCAATCGGTGGAGGGCGATTACACTTACCTCCGTATCAATTTTTTCCATCCAGGGTCCACGATGGGCAAGAGCGATAGCGGTAAGTTGCCCGCACTCGATTTATACTAGGTGTTATTTAAATGACATGTTATAATTTAGTCATTAGACTTTATTTATGGCAAATAATAATCAGTCAGAGTTTACATTACATTAAAATAAGTTCCTATACTTCCTAAAATGTTTTATTAACTAAAAGTATTAAAAGAGTCTGCTTAAATTAACGTCAAAAAGTTTGTACCTTTATATACATGAGCTTTTTCATTGAAGAATTCTCTACAATTATCCCTAAAACATTTACTTGGAATATAAAGACCCTTTGGGCAGAATGACATGACAAACACAGACCTTAAGACATTCAAAGAAACACCTAGACAATTTTTTTGTAGCAAAAATAGCACTATTTAGTTTCTTACACAAATCATGGTCAATAGTTCTCAGTGACAATATTTGTATTCGTTTTTTGTTCGTGTAATAATGGTTGGGATCTAGTATTGAAGAAAAATGTCATTCAGTAACTTGAAAATGAGTAATTTCAAGAATTCGGACTTTAAAAAATAGTCTGTTCCATTTTTATGCATCCTCCTTGGTTAGATTAAAGTTTGAGGTTTTCTTGATGGTGACTCACCCCGTAGATGACTCGAGTAATATCCCTTCCGAAAATAAATGACTAAGAATTAACTAAGCATGTTTTTAAATTAATAAATTTTAAATTAAAATAAATTGAAGGTCGTTTAATTTAATTTTCATAGTGTACAATAAACGAATTTTGGTTAGTTTGACAATTCCTACCGGCTGACAATTTAATGCATCGTGACGTCACAAAACGCCATATTTAAGGGAAGATGGGTGAATAGAAATACCATTTTTTTCTAAGCAAAATAATTCATTTTTATGCGCTAAACTTCCGCTTCCTCTCGCCATTTTCCTTTAACAGGTGGCGCTCGAGCGGCGGTCCCATAGACTTATTAATTACACGCGCCCACGCAGACCGACGACGAATTGAAAACGTTCGAACAAATAGAACTTGTAAGGTGCAGAATAATTTATTAAAAACATGTATAGATTTAAATACTAATAAAGAAATTCTGAACTACAATGTAATAAATAAGGGCATAATATGTATTAACTGTTCGGGAACAACGTACATAGAAACTTTCTAAAGTATAATAAATATGCCGTCGTCTCATCTTCTTGCAGATTTTCTGCAAAAAATGAGCCTTAACCTTAAAAAGTATTTAAGTCACAAATTCAGAATTAAAAGATTACTGATACTGCGAAATTTTGAAACATAAGTTCTCATTTTCCCATTTCATCTCATCTCATTTTTTTGCTGCAACTTAATAATTCTTATCCCTATGATCAAACTAAAAAGTTAGTCAATGTTTTAAGTTAACACCGAATTGCGGTTCAATAATTTTTGTCTTTAAAATTTAACGAATTTTTGGATTTGAATTTATGACTCGAGCGCCATCTTACCTTGAGATTTATGAAGCGTCTAGTAAATAATGTTGACGTACGTCATCTGAGTACTTTTATATGGCTTTAGAACTCAAATTTATTTTATGTCATTCCTGACACTTTAAAGTTGTAGTAAAATCCCTTCAGACTTTTATTTGTACATTAAAGTGGATGAATAATGTGCATAAAAAAATTAAAAAAATTAGTTTTACAATCTTAGAAAAAAAATTAAGTAAAAAAAGTAATAGTTTGAACCGAATCGACCATATATACTTTCGTTTTTGATTTTGAAGGCCACCAAATTATTCCAACAAAGCATATCCATTTCCTAGGTATAGCCCTCGACTATAAACTAAAGTGCTTTTGTTTGACGCTTCTTGTAATAACAGAAAAGAATTTTGCGTCGCGTTGTTTCATTTGAAATACTCTCAACGGTGCTCGGTATATACTAACTAGTTTTCATCCACAGACAGTCCTGAAAACTGAGAATAGTGAGTCTTACGAAAAAATCTTTCTCGAATTGGATATAAGAGAAGTGTCAAGCGAATTTACCCAAAGGTTGAAAGGGTTGCTTATACTTTCTGGTTGATTAAAGAGTTTTCGGACCTTTTAAAGAATAGACCGAGGCCTCAAGTCCGTTCCTGTATCTGTAATCTATCTATGTATGTTGATCGATTTGTTTTTATTCCAAAAACATTTTGTGCTGTTTTTTTATGACTTATTCTTATCTATAAACAGTGTTTTGAACTGATAAAGGATTTAAATTTGAACGGTAATTGCTTTGAGGTCTGAGTTTTGAGGTTTTCCAGGCAACTACCAGCAGCCCGAGTCGACGTTCGTTAAAGAGGTAACGTACCGCAGCACCAACACCAAAGAACCGGGCGAGATATCCCCGCCCTCGTCCAACCTCAACACCGCGTTCCGTCTGATCAAGGAGGTGCAGCGGAAGTTCAAGACGCGCGAGGCGGAAGAGAAGGAAAAAGAGGACCTCGTGAAACAGGACAGCCTCGTGCTGTCCCAAAACAAGGGCAATCCCAAATTGAAAGACCTCTACATACGACCCAACATTGTGTCGAAACGTATGACGGGCAGCCTCGAGGCCCACACCAACGGTTTCCGTTACACGTCGGTCCGCGGCGACAAAGTGGACATCCTCTACAACAACATCAAGAACGCGTTCTTTCAACCTTGCGACGGCGAGATGATCATCCTGCTTCACTTTCACCTCAAACACGCGATCATGTTCGGCAAAAAGAAGCACGTGGACGTGCAGTTTTACACGGAGGTCGGCGAGATCACCACCGATTTGGGGAAACACCAACACATGCACGATCGGGAGGATATCGCGGCAGAGCAGTCGGAACGCGAGCTGCGGCACAAGCTCAAGACCGCGTTCAAGAGTTTTTGCGAGAAGGTCGAGTCGATGACGAAGCAGGAGATCGAGTTCGACACGCCGTTCCGCGAACTAGGGTTCCCTGGGGCGCCGTTCCGTTCGACGGTGCTGCTCCAACCGACCAGCGGTTGCCTGGTGAACCTGACAGAGTGGCCACCTTTCGTCATCACCTTAGAGGACGTCGAACTGGTGCATTTCGAGCGCGTCCAGTTTCACCTGAAGAACTTCGACATGGTGTTCGTGTTCAAGGACTACCACAGGAAGATCGCGATGGTGAACGCGATCCCGATGAACATGCTCGACCACGTCAAGGAGTGGCTCAACTCGTGCGATATTAGGTGAGAGCGCCCATTCTCTGTGGTAATACGAGAAACACTAAATCTGCAGTACCATTTGTCTAAAATGGCATAATCACATCTATAAAAATATGAAGTACAGACCCCAAAACAACAATAACTATATTAGAATATAACTACAATGTAAGAAATAAGGGCATAATATGTATTAACTTTTCGGAAACAACATACATAGAAGCTTTCAAGAGTATAATACGCTGTCTTATGTTCCCTCAGATTTTCTGCCAAAAACTAGCCTTAACATCAAAAAATATTTAAATCACAAATTCAAAATTAATAGAATACTGATACTGCGAAATTTTGAATGGTATGGTTGTGTCCTATGTTAATGTGTACTTAATTGGAGATGCCTGTGTAAGCATATTTGGTGATCTTGTTACTTTCGAAAAATCGATGAAACGAAACATATCTCGGCATCGTGTCGATTATTGGCAGAAAATTTTGGTTAATTGTGGGTAAATTACTGCTGAAGATGGGATAATTTGATTTGAACAGTATCGTAAACTACGTCGAGAGAGAGTTTCAGGGAAAAAATATCATTTTTTTGTATTTACCGAAGTTTGGCGTAACTTTGAAGTTTGAAGAGATGTGAAGGACACTTTATACAGGGTGTATTCACAATAAAATGACATGGATTTTGCGAAAGGTCCTTAGTGGTCCGCAAGAGCACGATTGAAAAGCAATGCGTCCCCCAAGGGCAAAATCTCCGAATTGGCTTCCTTTTGAAATTAATATCCGTTCCGCGCTACACTCTCCGAATTTTCCCCTCTCAACGACGATTTTTCGAAAGCAATCTTGTTTTAACTGTGAGTTTTTAATCTCTTGAATTGTTTGTTCTCACTGGTGATTACTGCATTTTCGTGTAGAGGTGATCATGAACTATTTCATTATAAGTCGTCCATTCTCTCTGGTAATACAAGAAACACTAAATCTGCAGTACCATTTGTCTAAAATGGCATTATCACGCCTGTAGAAATGTTAAATGTCCAAAAATCTCTCAACATCTTCGGTCCGCCAAAGACAAAAATTCCATTCCATTTGAGATGCCCGGAGTTTACAGCATTCCATGCATATGCGGCAAAGAATACATTGGAGAGACCGGACGAAAAATATCAATTAGACTCAAAGAACATAAACAAAGAACTGTCCTTGGTCTTAACATGATGTTGATGAAACAAAGGTTGACCTGTAAGTTCTAGATGATGCTTGGAATATGTTAAAAAGACAATTTCTATCTGTCCACGGATCTGTGATATATTTTAATAGCACTGTGTAATAGGAATATATTTTCTTGACGGAGTGATATTAAAAAGCTAATGAAAATTGAATTTATAGCTTAATTCCCTTTTATTTATTTGTTCTCGCCCGTAAGTAGTTGTAGTGCGTAAGTTCATCGTCCCCCACAGCACAAAAACAACCGAAATGCCAACTCTCGGTGTGGGCGCGAAACTTCGTCCAACCTAAAAGTTGATTTTAGGCTTTGGTCTACATCGCTGCGTCTTGTCTTGTCTTGTCTATTCTGTGCTCCGAAGCAGAACTTGAAACTGCAATTGACAGTTTGATTTAAATTTTCTCTTAATAGTTGACTGTTGAGTGTTCAAAGCCGTTGATGGCAAGCGCCTACACTTCAGCGTGAGCTTTTTCCGCGGTCCCAGATTCTCAAATTCGCTCAAAAATTTTAACACTTTTTAAGTATTTATTTCACTACATCATAAGAACAACCAAACTGAGAAAAAGACCAAACATGGCGAAATTAAGTTTGAACCTGTTGAAAATCTCCAAACATGAACCTTTGTCACAGTATTTGACATTAATTTTGGATTTCCTTATCGTCTCCTGTAGTCAAAGTCTTGTTGCTCTCTTGATTGTGGACCTTTTCGCCATTTTATTGAATGTTAAGGGGAACCCCATTATCAAAGACATAAATCCAACTTCCTCCACGCCCCTTTGATCTCCCCGCGTGTTCCAGATACTCTGAGGGAGTGCAATCTCTAAACTGGGCGAAAATCATGAAAACCATCACCGACGACCCAGACGGGTTCTTCGAGAGCGGCGGCTGGACGTTCCTGGACCCGGAATCGGACGTCGAGGAGGCCCAAGAGGAAGAGACCGAGGACGAGGACGAAGTCTACCAGCCTTCGGACCTCGAGTCCGGTTCGGAGGAGAGTGACGAGGACTCCGAATATTCCGAGGGCGACACGGAGGAGAGCGAGAGCGGATCTGAAGGCGACGAACTGGGTAAGATGGCGGGAGGTGCATTTTTTTCGCATACGGTTTTGGCAAAACGGCATTTTTGTTGTGTAGGATCGGAGGAGGAATCAGGGAAGGACTGGTCGGATTTGGAGAAGGAGGCGGCGGAGGAGGACAACCAGCGGGCCTACGACGATTTCGACGGCCAGAAGTCGGGCGGTCGGAACAAGTTTTCGTCGAAGAGTAAGGGCTCGTCGTCGTCCTCGTCGAAGGGCAAACATTCCGGTTCGGGCGGCTCGAAGCACAACAGCAGCGGTCACAAGGGCGGCAGCTCGGGCAGGCACAACAGCAGCGGCAGCAGTCGTGACAGAGACAGAGGCGAGTACAAATTGTAAAGTGCTTTTATTTTCTCCAAAACGAACTCGAAATTAATTTCCTTAAATATTAACGTTCAATTTGAAAACACCGTGTATACACTCCTAGAAGAAATAACGATCTTAAATCTCGGACCCTATTAATGGACTAAATGGACTAATACTAAAAATAAACAACAAAATGCAATTAGTACCCATCGTACATTTAAAAAATCATTAAAGGTCACTATTCTATCAAATTCAACGTTCTATCATGGACATTTTGTCTATTGGTCTGTAGTTAGTGACTTCACTTCGTTTGCTACTCTTAAACATAGACAGATACCAGTTAACACGGATGTAGTAAAAGTATTATTTAAAAAAAAAAGGCCATAATATGTGCACAATTTTTCAAAAATATCAGATATGTCATCAGGTCCAGAAGGTAGACAAGAAAATTGCAATTGTTATCGCGATGAACAGTCACTAAAATAGTTTGCGTCATCAGAGGGTGTAGATATAGTGATTTCAAAAAATTTTAGCAGGTTGTATACTATCTCTATACTCTGTTGATTAAAGAACCATGAACCATCTGTAGAACTTGGATCACCAAAGGTAAGTACAGGAAAAAAACTGGTTTTACATAAAAAGAGAAATATATTCCATCCATGCATATGAAGAAATTATGGAAAACGTCGAATTAAATCATTTTAGTTTAAAAAAACATTAAAAAAAAAGTCGCTTTTAGTGAAAAGAGAAAGGTAACAGAATGCTGATGTTTATAAAAACCACGAAATGGGAAGAAAAAAGATATCATTTACCTTAAATAAGAAGCAATTTCAGTAAGTTGGGCTGAGAAAGTACCTACCTTTTTTCAAAATGAGGACGTCGAAATCCCCTTCCAAGGGCGGGATAAAACACTGGATTGTGGAATAATGGACTGGTTCCTAGTGACACAAGTTCTATCCACACAGTTACGACGATGATTGAAAGAACAAACAAAAAGTATAATCAGTGTTGATTTATGCGGGAAAAATCAACCACAAAAATTGAGACTATGAAATTAGTATCCAGTATCATAACAAAAACGAGGAAACCCGATGGATTTGATACCAATAGAGGTCTCAGACAAGAAGATTCCTTGTCAGCAACATTATTTAGCATATACTAAGAAACATAAAAAAATAAAAAATAAGTCGGAAGTGAAAATCTTGAGACACCTAGACCAGGGTCTGTGAAAAATCACCGATGTGGTACCGGCAATGCTGAATGACGGGAATGGAAATCAGGAGAGACGACAACGGTAATTTAAGTGTTACAATGGAACTCGGGCAGGAAAAGACCCCCATCAAGATGCTTGCAGGAAGTTAAAGAGGACTTGAGAAGAACAGGAGTCATAAATTGGCAAGAAAAAAGAATGGAGAAACGTCAGCCAAAAGTATGAAGATTGATCCGCCTCAATCCGTCAATTGCATCTAGAAGCGGCGCAACTCCATTTGGGAGTATGAAGCCACTATCTATCTATCCCATCTCTATAAATGACATTATATATATATATATATATATATATATATATATATATATATATATATATATATATATATATATATATATATATATATATATATATATATATATATATATATATATATATAATTTTCATTTTTGAATTTTGTTGTACCTTTAGATCGCGGCAAAGACAAGCACCGGCATTCGTCGTCGTCTGGCTCGAAGCACAAGTCGTCGTCGGCGTCGGGGCACTCGAAGTCGTCGCCGTCGAAGGACAAGAGCCGCCACGGTTCGTCATCCTCGCATAACGACAAAAAGAGGAGCCGATCGCATAGCGGGGACCGGCACAAGGCCAAAAAATCGAGGAAATAAATATTTTTTTATCGATTTTCTACGTTATTTAAGGAGTACATTTGTAAGTTTTCTTTTTTTTTTTTTCGCTTAGCCTTCTACTTGTTAAGTTGTCTTTAAACGATCGATCATTAAACATTGGTTCTTTTAAATGTTGTCTTATTTTAGTTCAAAACCCTAAGAATCAAACGGAATAAAATTTTTCTCGGCATATAAAGCTTTCTTTTCCTTTAAGAAGAGCATTGGCTATCAGTCGTACGATTTGACAATGGTGTTTACTACAGACCACTGGCGAAAATTTTTCAGCCCCGATGTGTTTCGGCGATCAATTTTTCTCTGAATAATATATTGGGATATTCATAATTCGTTTTTCTCGTCACAAATACCCCAGATTTCTTCTTTTTATGGTATTAAGTGCTTCTCTTCGTCACTCTGTACAACCATGATGTCTTCAATATTCTTCCTGCCGATTATTTGAGTAAGGTTCCACTATAATAATCTAATAATAATTAAAATAAATAAGAACTAAAAGTTCAAATTTTCACGAAATTACATTGACAATTGTTTCGACAACACCTTGTCTTTATCAAATGTACATTTGATAAGGACACGGTGTTGTCGAAACAATTGTCATGTCATAATATATAATTTCGTGAAAATCCGAACTTTTAGTTCTTATTTATTTTGATAAATGGATTTTCATCAAGTAAAAGCCACCTCAGTTTAATAATAATTACGTACAAGCTACATTTGATAATAACACAATTAAAAAAAGAGATACACACAGATAAGTTTTATCTTATTCTGGTTTGAAAATTTATTTATTCCATGTAAAATATTTAAAGATAAATAGATAACAGACGAACACCAAGAATAAAGACTTATTGTTTGCCCAGTGAACTTAAAATAAACCTGAGACGATTTTGAAGTGTTTTGCCTGCCTGTGAAACAGGATAACATCATAGCAATAATGTTGACTGACAATTTCTTCAGCACAGGCCAGACATGTAAATGTAAATTTTTGGCAAAATGCACACATCGAGCAACTGTGTTATTTTAATTATAACACATTTTTGATAAGTCGTGTCCGTTCTATAACAAAAAATTAACTTAAATGGTAGATATTGGTAAAAATACTTCACTAGCAAAATCAAAAGCTTAAAAAGCCCATATGAGGATTCAATATGAAAACATTACGAAAAACTTGAACATATACTAATATCGGACATGCCTGGAATATTCCTTTTTGTTTCATCCGTTTCAGTGACTATTAATTTCGTATTTTCAAAATCAAAATGACGTAAATTTTTTATGGCATGTTTACTTAAAGCGGTTACTCTGGCCCATTAAGTAGATTCGCAGTCTTTACAGGTTTTATACGCAATAATGTGGGTTTTCGTGATACTACGCACACAACTGATGGTTCATTAATCTCTGAATGTTTATTATAAATAAACATTCCGACACTACGGGATAAAAATGCTTATCGGTGTTTTTCTTCACAGCATAAATCAAATTTGAATTATAAGCGTATTCAGGACTTTTCAAAGAAATTTCCACAGGCCTACTGCAATGCTTTTTACAAAACTTCTGGATTCCTCCTGTGCCGGTTTTTGTTTAGTCGAAATTGACTGAAGAAGCCAACAGGATGATTGGCGAAACGTCAGCAATTTCGACTAAGCAAAAACCGACGCAGGAGGAATCCAGAAGTCGAAAAGCATAAAAGAAATTGTAAAAACCACAACGTCCTTTAGTAATATTTGTGAAGTTTGTAACATTACCTTAATTGCGATTAATTGAACCCAATTTTAGAAGTTTAATTTCAATATATTTATTAACAAAATTTTCCCGATACCAAATGTGCGTTGATGATCTATGAAGGTCGTGCACAAACCTACTTTACAATGCTAAATGCAACGAAACACCACCACTCCCAAAGTCGACGCCACTGTATGACAAATGTTATATCGCGCAGTTGTTCTTGATCTATAATTTTCTCTTCCAGACCGGCATGCGCAGAATACACAATAACTACCACAGAAACTTCCTCTTTTTTGCTTTATCTTAACGTGGGCACGTCAACTAAACCACAGAAAATCTTCCATTACGTTTTGAAATATTGGGAACATACGCTCATTGCACACATCCGTTGTAGACTTCAGCTTCAACTAACCAGGACTCTAAGTTAGCTCCGTGCTATTCAATGATATAAAGTCCCAGCTGTAGAGATCTTCATCTGATTCGCTATTTTAGGTTGAAATCTATTGATTGTTTAAACACCAAATAGTTACGGTAATGGACGAGTATCCTTAACTAACTTGCCCAAGGTAACTAAGAAGCAAAGAAGAAGAGAAAGATAAAGTGCATTTTTGTACAGGGTTAGAAATCGATAAAACTAACTCTAATTATTTTCACTAAAAGGCTTCGCTATGAACACTCTGGTGGGGGCTCTCCTGCGAGCGGGTTGTGAAGACGGCTCCACTGTGGACTCGCAAAACGTCACTCCCTTTTTCGCCGCATCTCGATCCACGTTTTCCTTACCCGCCTGGTTATTATTTTCCGCGACTTTATCCCCCGCAGACGGCACTTCAAGCAACTTAGTACCTTCAATGTCAATCACGTTGCTAGACGACTCTCTTTGCTCTACGATCGGAAAATCCACCTTCTTCCTTACCGTCACGTATTTGGTCCTCTCGAAATTCGGTACTGAACTTGGAAGCTCTACTTCCTTCTCCTTGGAGATTACTTGCTTCAGCTTTAGCGCTTCTAACCTCCATTTCCTTGTTTCTTTGTTGGCCTGCGCCAACAACATAGACAAGGAGCCCGTGTTCAATGATCGGTCCATTAGCTTTTGCTCCAAGTGACGGATCTCTTTCTGCTTCAATTCAACTTGATTCATGTAGAACCGGAAATCGGCGGGCAGGTCTGAGACACCAAACTCCTTATGTTTTGCAGCAAGTTCTTTCTTCAACTTCTCCAACGACTCCTTCAGCAGGTTTATGGTATCGTTTAAAGTTACCGAGATTGTTTGTTGGTCCTCCTCCACCTGGGTCAAATCTTTCTTCCACTTTTCACACAGGTCCACGTTTTGCTTTTTCAATTCCATAATTAGTTTTTCCTGTTTGGAGTTTTCGAACTTGAGGCGTGTGTAATCCGACTTTATATTGTTTACGGTGTGTTGCAAGTGCACCCGTCTGTCGTCGACTTCAGCGAATAGAGAATTCCCCTTGCTTTGTGTATCGAGGGGTTGGTTTTTCAAGGTGCCCAGTTCCAAATTTGCGCACGCCAATTCCTCGTTCAGTTTCTCAATAAGCACCAAATTTTCCGCCAGCTCCTCACGTTTCACCTTCAAGGTTTCGTTGAGTTGCGAGTTCTCTTCCGCCAACGCATCGAACTTGGTTTCCAAGATTTTATGTTGTTCACTCAACGTTATGTACTCATTTTTCAAACCGTCGAAAATTTGTTGGAGCTCTTCGTGCTGGGTCTCCAAGTTCGCTAATTCTTCGTTGAACCTAAAGGAACTGTCCGTTTCGTTCAAATTTTTCAAAACATCTATTTCATTCTTTAATTTCGTGATAGTTTCTTCGTTTCTCGCGATCTCCGATTCTAAAGTGGACACCGCCCGCTCGTGATTGTCGCGGAGAGTGACGATCGTTTCTTCCAAACTGGCGATTTTTGATTCAAATTTCGCCAGTTGCCTTTGTTCTCCCGTTTGCAACCGTTCCGTTTCTTGTTGATATTCCAATAACATCGCCTCTTTCAATTTTAGTTGCCTATTCGTGTCGTACAACTCTTGTCTAACGTCCTCAAGCTCCTTCTGTAGCCTGCTAAAGTTGGGGCTATTATCGCAATTGCCGGTTTGCTTTTCCATGTTAACAACTTGAAATACAGGCTTCAACGGATTTTGGGTTTTCATAATTCGAATCAAAGAACAACAGAGATATTACCAAAGCACTATGTAGGCAACATTGCAGTGGTCATTCGTCCATTTTCTGGAATTCCCAGTGGAATTCTATAACCAATATTTGTTTTCAGCTTGGTAAGAAGAACTTTGACAGATAACAGGCTCCTCCGGCCTCCAACCGGCGTGAATGACCAAAACAGCGGAGCCGACAACGATTACACACTTTAAATCTTTCACTAAATACTTAGGGCACGAAAACCACACAGTTGAAACCAATATCAAAATTTTTGGGATAATTGCAAAGGATTCTGTCGGTTACAAGCGGGAGTTAAACTGTCAATTAACGAACATTTCAATTGCTTTTGAAATGGCATTTCCTTTTCGAAATGGACCATTAAATATCTAATTTCGTTTATGGTCAAATGATCCAAGCGATTGTGCCCAATCAAAATGAAAAAATGAAGATAACTTACATTTCCCGGTGGAACTAACCTACAATATCTGTCGTATTTTTATTAAAATTTCATTGAAATTAAACGAAAAGTGAGGAAATTGGTACCACAATACTAACAATGTATAAGTTATAATTAGAGATAATTGTTAATGATACAACACAGTAGAAGCAGACGCTGATAAAATGCTGCCTCCAAAATTACTGACATAATTATTTACATAATCTCCAAAAACAAGGAAATAAAATGAGCAGCTTAGCCGAAAAACCAACACTCAATTGGAAAGAATTCGTTTGCGGGTGGGGGGCGGCGTTTATCAACGTAACTGTAACTTATCCGATTAATAAAATTATATTTAGACAGGTTAGTTTAATAAATCCAACCGAATTGCGTTCTATTTCATTTTTTTTCCCCGATTTCCAGATGTTGCACGGGATAAAAGCAAAGAAAGCGTTCTATCAGCTGCACGGCGAGGGTATTTTTTTCCTGTACAGGGGCATCCTGCCGCCGCTATGTCAGAAAACTTTGTCCTTGTCTATAATGTTTGGGGTTTACGAGCAGGTCCGGCAGCCTCTGGTCGAGACGGGCGTAAACCGGTATATGGCAAAAGCGTTGGGAGCTTTAATTTCAGGAACGACCGAAGCCGCCCTAATGCCGTTCGAGCGGGTTCAAACGTTATTACAAAACGCCCATTACCACGACGAATTCAAAAACACTTTTCACGCATTTAAAGCGCTCCGATCGTACGGACTGGTCGAGTATTATCGAGGCCTCGTTCCCATCTTGTTAAGGAACGGTCCGTCCAACATTGGGTTCTTCATAGCACGGGAGGAGCTCCAGAACTGTATGCCGAAATACGATAACGAATTTATAAGGACGTCTACCGAATTCATGTGCGGCGCTCTGATAGGTGTCGTACTGTCGAGCATTTTCTATCCTTTGAATGTGTTGAAAGTGGCCATGCAAAACAAGATCGGGGGCGAATTCGAGAATCCCGTTAAAGTATTCGTACAAATTTACAGGGACAGGGGCTGCAAGGTTAGGTATTTTTATCACGGCGTTCAGATGAACTGCGCCAGGGCTTTTATCAGCTGGGGGGTGATGAATACCGCTTACGAACACATAAAGGCTGTTATCTATTAGAATATTTAAAATTCCGTTTCTAGTGCAATTTGTTGAACTTGTAAAATATTTTTATAATTTTGTTTTAATTTTTACGTTACAGTTTTCCATGCATCCATACAACTCAAAAACGCAAAAAAAAGTGAAAACGCGCTTCTAAATCAAACGATGATGTCACTATGCAAATTTAAAACCGCATCTGGTGCTAATTTTTATTGTCGAACCTGTACAATATTTTTATAATTGTTTTTCCATTTTGTCTGTCTTGATTTGTTAAGAATAAATTTATGTCATTCTTGTTTATTTTTTGCCGATAAAAGATAACGTCATAAATGGAACGCCCTATTCTCGGGGCGGGCCGACCATAGTTTACGCACTTTAATTAAATTTTGTTTTACTGCAAGAGCTAAATAAATATAAAAGGCGTTGACTGCGATAAAGTTTCTCTGTCCACATCGATATTGTCGGTGCCGACGCGTCTGGTTTACATTTCGTGTCATCTCTGTTGCGCGTTATTCAAAAGTCTTATCGGCAGATAATTGAAATAGGCAACGGTAAGTGTGTCGATTACTTATACGTTATGCTTAAAAAACTACGCAACTGTAAAACTACAACTACTCGATACTCACGCTCAAAATTTAAATGTTTACGAATACAGGTTATGAATTGTTACATTTTGATCAACAGGGGTGTGAGGAATTGTACGTCACGTAACTTTCAGTGATAATCTCGTTCAGGTAACTCCCCCATTTTTAATCACATTACCTTTGGCAGGATAAGAATCAGATATTTAAATGGCAATGTTGACAATATTGGGTCATCTGAGATCCGCGTTCCATTGATTTTTAGAACGACCGCTAGAGGCGCGAGCAAGCTAATTTTACGAGCCTTAACTTGTCAATGTTTAATATAAAAATTTCGGTTTCGCATAATTAACTTTTTTTAGCGTTTTGCGTGAATAATGCCGGCGGTTCGGCTGGTTTTGACCAGCCACACGAGTCCCGTGGTGTGCACGGGTTCAGAAATCGCGGGACAAGTGATATGCCATTACGTTTCGACCACTGACGTCAGAAGTAAGTATCAGAATAGCAACCAATCGCGTCTTGTGGGCGCCATCTTTCGGTCGAACGCGCTACCAGCCCCACGCGGTTTGAGCGTTCGCCTATACGCGGCGCTCTCGTGTTGGTCAACGAACGTTTTTAAATTCCCAGTGATTTTGCAGGTATCAAAGTGTGGTTGGTTGGTAAAGAAAAAATTGAATGGCGCCAGGGGAAGACGACGATAAAAGATTCCAATAAGTTTTTGAACTTGCTGACTTGTGTTTACGAACAAGGTATAGTTTTATTCTTACGGGGATCCTAACGCCAAACTTTACGCTCGCAGGACAGCCTCCCAGAATCGAGTTTCCTTTTACTTTCCGCTTGCCGCACGACTACCCGAGCAGTTTCGAGGACGAATACGGGAAAGTGACGTACAAATTAAAGGTGGTGGTCGATAAGAAATGGAGTTTGGATGATAAGTTAAAACACCGGCTCACCGTGCTTTCGCCGATAGATCTCAATCGACTACCCTATTTGCAGGTTAGGTGCTTGTCTCGAAAAAATAGAATATAGCAAAATTCGCGAAAATCGACGCTGTGTGGCGATGGGTTTCAGACGCCGGTCGCTTGGCGCGGTCAAAAAGGCATGTTTTTCTTTTGCTGCGACCCGGGGACCATAGACCTCGCGGTCAAATTAGACAAGCGTTCATTTGTGCCTGGCGAAGTATTGACCGTTCAGATCCAATGCGACAACATGTCGAAGACGAACGTGTTATCGTTCGTCGTCAAATTGAAAAGGGTAAGTCGCGGAAAAATGATCGTTGCAAAATCCAATTCGAATATTGTAATATGTACTTATCTGGCAAATCGGCAACGTTGCCAAACTGCGTTGCACCCTCGCGTATCGACTTTAAACGAAATTCGATAGAGCAACACCCTTTTTAAAAAAATAAGTTAACAGGCGCAGTCGGTAGGATCGTCAAAATAATCGATCAATCGTTGAAAGTTCCAACAATCGGGTAGTCGAGTAAGTATCCGGTTCTCGTGCTGGAATATAAAAAACTAAATATCCGTGGGCGTTTATTTCGAATAAATGAATTTCCGAATAGATATAGAAAGGTATGGACAACATCGGGTAGTAGTGTAAGTTAAATAATTTTTAAATGAATAACTTAAATGAAATTGTAAACATTTTAAATAACTTATCGATAAATTCGCGTTCAATCAACTTTGAATATATTTTTTCACAAATTTTAAGTATTATCAGTAGAAATATAAAAAAAAATTTCATTTTCAATATATTTTTCTGTTTATTGGGAAAATTAACGTGAAATGCAAAAATTGCTGTAAATATTAAAAATATAACGGATCAATGTTAAAACAACAAGAACACGAACAGCGGAGTCAATTTTATGATGGAGTATTTTATATATTACATTTACTTTGTTCTAATAATGACATCCGTCAGACTACCACAGAAGGAAAGACTTTGAGAAACTCCTAATACAACAATCTAGCGCTAAAAACTTTTTTTTCGGGACTCGAAGAACCTTTACCTATACAATTCGTAACCGCAGAACACATTAGTTACTTTCAGAATATGTCAGAACTTCCTCTAAACCGGAAATTACCCAAGCAATTTAGACCAAATTTCTAGGTCTAATTTTTAAAGCTTTTTATCACATACCGCACTTGAATGGTATGTAGTAATGGTATATATCAAAGATCTCCTATGAATCCTACTGACTGCGCCAGTTAACGTAATCGATACGACACCACCGTTTTTAAAAACAATATTTTTTATTAAATAATAAAAGTAGTTTGTGCTGTAAACCACCGACTTATGTAATTTTTATTTGTATTTTTACATTAAGCAAATAAAAATAAAATTTCGATTTTCGTATATTTTTTCATTTTCGAAAAATAATGGGAGGCAGTTTATTGAACTCCAAACAATTTTCGTTCATTTTTATTATCGAAAACGAAGGAATTTACGAGAAGATTTGAGGAAACGAAGAGGTTTTATTTTGAATTATCATTTTTTCTTGACAAAACTTGTTAGATTATCGCTCGGGACGCCACTGAAAAAAAACGAAAATAAGTTAGTTTGTCAGCTAATGCTATCTAGCGGCGGCGGTATAATATAGACAGACGAAACAAAGAAAAGGTTTTGTAGTGCCAATCAAATTGAAGTTTAAACTCCCCCTCAGCAATCATCAAGATTAAACTGGGAAATTTGTTGATGTACCATCTCACAAAGAGACGCTTACCCCGCTTAATTGACCACCCTGTATATAAGTTAGGTTACCTTATGAACTGTTTGTTTTTCTAGCTTGATGCGAACTAAATATTAATTAGCCAGTCACATTTTCGGAACTCTTCTTCTTCTTTTGCAGCACACATCCCTTTTGGGGGTTTTTGCTGCAAGTACTGCCTGCCTCCACTTGTCTCTGTCCGAGACCTCCTCTCTTCAATTCTCTACTCCCAGAGTGTGCAGGTCTTTGGTAATATTGTCTCTCCATCTTAGTCTAGGTCTCCCTAGAGGTCTTTTTCCGGAAGGATTTTCCTCCCAAATACGTCTAATAAGACGTTTCTTGGTACCTCTATACCCCTCCGTAAACTTTCCATAATCACCCACAGGCTGTCCCTTATGATACTATCGTAGGCTGATGCACATCTCTATCAATTTTTTCCAGCAGTTGTCTGATTGTAGAGATCTGATCTACCGTCGATCTGTTTGGTCTGAAGCCGCACGGGTAGTCTCCTATGTTCCCCTCTGCATATGGAGTTATTCTGCTTCTGAGCATATTTGATAGCACCTTGACCTGTCTCCTTTTTTTGTGAATCGGTATGATTATTCCCTCGTTCAATTCCTTTGGGGTTGTTTCTGTTGTTACAGTTCCTCATATAGTCGATTTCCCCCGCATTTTCCCGGTCAGCTCTTATGGAATCACTACCTGGGGATTTGTTGTTCTTCAGGTGTCTGACTGCGTTTTTGATCTCTGTTAGTGAGGGGGTCGCCACCTGCTCCTCTGGACCCTGATATTTTTTCTATCCTTCTTCTAATAAACTTTCTAGTTTCCGCTCTGCACTTATTGAATTGCTGCGTATTTTCCTCGTTTGGCATTCCGCATCATACCATGGCTTCATTTTTGTGGTCTTAGCTTTCCCCAAGGTACTTTCCGCGACCCCAGTTCCCTCGCTACTAGGATTCTCTTATTGCTTCTTGGTATTTGATCTTGTGTTCTCCCTCGGGCTTCAAAACCTTAACATTTCACCTTTTGCTTTCACTTTGTTCTTCTCTCGTCTGAGTGCCCTTGCTCTTAGTTTCACTTTGACCCAGAAATCATGAGATGAGCCGTCGACGCCACTTTGGCTTCTCACATCCAATATGTTTTTTGAGTGCCTCGCATTTGCCAGGACATGGTCTATTTGATTACGCGTTCTACCATCATTTGATACCCATGTCTCTTTATGGGTTGTTTGCCAGCTGTAAAGTTTGCCAGCCTTTGACCATTATTATTCGTTTGTGAGGACCTCGCTTTGGAGAAAACGTTCTTCTTTTACATTTCACACTAAAGTCCGATGCGAAGTGTTTAGGGTAGACTTTTTTTTTAGAAAATTACCTTCAAGAAGGTCAGCTCCTGGGGCAACAGCGAGCGGACCAGCGTGCTCGAGGTGGCACGGGCTCATGTGAGCAGCGGCGTCGGCGCCCACGGGAGTACCATTCGCACGACATTCCTCCGCGTACCCACAAACGTAGAAATCCCGAATTTTTGCCGGTGCCTCATGCTCGAACAGAGCTGGATACTTTCGGTAAGACTAACAATTTATTTCGAGCTCAGGTTCCCGCCTCGGCTGTTACCATAACATCGGTAAGTAAGGGAAAACAACTAAAATGGTTTGCCGTTATTACGACGGATTCACAACAGACATTATCCCTTAAATCCTGTAAACAGAGTACAAAGGCTGGTAACCTTGCACTTTCCGTGTTTATTAGATGAGCTCATAGATATCAAACTTGTTACTTTTGAAAATCGATGAAATCGAATTTTTAGAAAGTATCTACGTTCGTATAAAAATTTTATATCTCGGTAACGGTAAGTCCTATGGTGCAGAAATAATCACCGTCGAAAAAAAAATTGTTTTCTTGTCTGTCCGTTCTCTGTTCTTTTGGTTTTTCCTGAATAACTTTCGAACCGTTGGAGCTACAAAATTGAAATTTTCCTCCTTTTTAACCCAACACGAGGCACATAAGCTTATTTTTTTTCGCGATTTTCCACTGTTTTGAAATTTGAATCAATCAACTTCATATTTGGCGCATATATGCAGTTTTGTCCTGTGACGGAACCTATTGAAAATGGGGGGGGGCTGGGGGGTCGGGAACTATTTAAAAAAAATTAAAAATCGCGTTTGGAAGGGTCTACAAAAGGATCATTTTTCAAAAACCGTTTAGAAGACCGAAAAAAATTTTGAACCAGAAGACACAGAGGATACGTGCGCCGCAAATTTATTTTTATTTATTTATTTATTTTTTTATTTATTTATTTATTTATTACAAAGGTGCCCTAACATGAAGAACTAACTTCACAATTTACAAGGACACACTAACAATTATACCATTATTTAATTAACAAAGTAAAACTTATAAGTAAGTACCTACCTATATCTACGATAAGCAGAAGATAAAAAAAAATAATAACAATCAAACTTACCAAACTAAACCAAAACTAACACTGTATATTAAGTGCGTGAATTACAAAAAACAAATGTGAAAAAATAAGGAAAACAAATCAAAAAATTAAAATAAATTTATAGAAAAACCCTAATTGCCTGATTTCGAAACGAATTAAGTGACAACGCAAAGATTAATAATTATTGTAATGTCTATGTAAAAAAGATATTGGGGAATTGTTACCTAAGTTTGTATTAAATCTAGGCACGTAAAATAATGAAGGAGTTCTTGTTATAACGACTCTGGCATTGAAGGATAGTTTTTCCAACAGTAAAGGACAGTCAATCCTACTATTAATAATATTATGCAAAAATATAGCACTGGAGATAATTCTTCTAACAGATAACTTCAGTATATGGTAGAAATTAAGACTAGCTTCATACGAATGAGTTAGTAAGTTACGGTTAAATCTAAAATTTAAATGGAAAACAAACTTTTTTTGTATTCTCTCGATTCTGTCTATATATTTATGATACTGAGGACTCCGTATCACACCGCCATAGTCAAGGTGAGATCGAACGTAGGAATTGTATAGAATAATAAGCGATTTGTGATCCTGAAATTCCTTGCTAACTCTTAATATAAAACCTAAATTTTTATAAGCTTTTTTTTACTATATTCTCAATGTGGATATCAAAACTTAATTTTACATCTATAGTTATTCCAAGATCCCTAATCTGCTCTACTTTTTTTATTTTTACACCATTGAATGTGTAGTCAAAGTTTATATCATTTATCCGCCTGCTGAACTTAAGACATTTATCAATATTTAAAAAGATCTTCTTGAAACTTATAAGAGTCGTTAAGGCTGATCATCTGCGTATGATGCTGATTTAGCAAAAAGAAAACATTTACTGAAATCTGGGATAAACAGTGAAAATAACAATGGTCCCAAATGGGACCCTTGAGGAATTCCAGATGTGATGCGGGTCGTTTGGGATTTTGCAGAATTCAATTCTACAAACTGAGTCCGAGGACTGATGTAGGATTGAAGAATTTTATAAAGACAACCGTGTACATCGAAATTTTTTAATTTGATCAGCATTGTTGGGTGGTGAACCTTATCAAAAGCTTTTGAGAAGTCGGTGTACACGGCATCTATCTGCACCCTATTATCTAACGCCTCAGAAACATCCTGGACATATAGTGAGAGACTGGTAGCAACCGACCTACCCCTAAAAAACCATGTTGTGTATCTCCAAGAGCATGTTTTAATTTGAAAAATAACTCATTGGTAATTATAGCTTCCAGCATTTTCCCTGGAACGGAAAGAATAGATATAGGTCGGTAGTTTGTGACGTCACAGGTATTATTTTGGCACACTTCCAAATAGTTGGAAACTGCCCTTCAGATAAACTTTTATTGTAAATAATAAAAAGTGGCTTATTATTTATATCAAGCTTACTTAGCTGGATCCTGATTTGGTCCTCGGATATGAAATTTAAAACAACAGTGTCACATGGCGGTTCTAACAACGGAATTCTCGAAGGAGTTGTATCAGGTTCATAGACACTCGAAAAAAAATCAGAGAATGGTGCACAGATATCTACATTAGTATAAAAACTACGATTTTGATACGTTACTGATTTTGGTATGTTTTTTGATTTTTTTTTTATTATTTACAAAATTCAAACAAACTATGACCCAGATCTCACTTTCTTTTATATTGCGATATAGCCCGCATAGGCAGCAAAAACTTTTGTATTTAAGGTTTTCACCTATTGTGCAGGGTGTTCCCGATCTTCCGTGCTAAACGGGAAATGTGTTAAGTGTTCTAAATTTGCAGATATCAGCTTCAAATTTAGCAGAGAAGTAAAAGTCCGTGTCCACATTTAAACGGTAGAAATTGGGCGCAATCAAATTTTACCAAGTGTTTCTTAAAAATGTTTTTTTTTTTGGTAATTTTAGCTTACAGAAAAATATGTTTCCCTCCATAATCGTTCATCCGTTCTACGAAATTCTTTAACCAGCAGACCCAGAAGATCCATTGCCATAACATTTATTTCTGGCATTTTTTCGATTATATACAGGGTTTTCAAATTATAGGCAAAAATCTAAAAGACCTAGAAAATTGTTGTTTTCCAGAATAGATTATTAGCCGCAAATTGGTTCAAACGGTATCATGGCCGTATCAAGAGCCACAATTCTTGTATTTGCGGTTTTCGTCTATCACATACGCTGTTCGGGATTTTTGAAAAAATCCACAAGACGCGATGACGTCATTGATTATTACGTCGCACTGCATGGTTTCAGAAAAAAACTATTTTCTCGAAAACCATTTACTATTTTCAAAAAATTCTTGAACCAGAAAACGTGGAAGATCCCGGGCTATAACCTGAAACAATGTTTGAATCATATACAGGGTGTGTCGTTTATGAGCAAAAAGTCCAAAAGATCCTAAAAATTTCCGTTTTTTTAGGTAAATTATTGGCGATAAATGAAAAACGGTTGAAGATGGCATAATTTTATTTGAACAGTATCGTAAACTATGTCGCTACGAACTTGCCCCGTCTAGTTAAGATTTTTCGAAAGCAATCTTGTTAGTTTTAGTTCCTTGTTGAAAATATTAAATTGAAATTTCTTAGATTTTTTTTTTCATTCATTCATCCCTTTAGTTTAAGTCTATTTTTGGTTTTCAGAATAAAAATTGGTGTACCATTTTGAGAAGTTAGGAATTGGATTTTTCGCCACTGGAGGTTATTTTCCTCTAGTGTGATGTTTTTCGTGAGCAATTTCTTCCTGTTCTGATATATTCTCTTGAAATATCAGGCTTCTCTGGGAAAAAATGTAAAAGAACCATTAAATTTTTTGCAATTATTTGTCATGTTCCTAGTTTGTCATTAAAACTTAACACAATTTGAATTCGAAGAGACTTGTCGTTATTCGTAAAGTTAAGTGATCTTTGCCTATTTGACATTCAACTTGTATCGGTAGAAGTAGACATAGGTTTATTTTTTATCTACTCTACTACTATCTCTAGATTTTCCGAGAAATCTTCCGTTTTATTAAATATAAAAATTTGAGAAACCCCGTAGTTTATTTTTGCTAACTTGGCTTTATTAAACTCGGTTTAGTGTTAACGTTGGTGCAACAGATGGTCCAAACTATATTTAAACGCTTTCACTAATTGCAAAGTTCGATGTTTATTCTATGGTTTTGAGTCAATGATTGAACTGCTGTTATATGAAATTTTACGCTCTGTGATTTTGGCTAAGGTTCTCAGGTCCTAACGAAAAACAAGAAGAGTACTGTTTGTTTTTTACCGTGTTTTAAGTTTTATGTGTATATTTCCTGTCAGATGTATTAAAAACATATTCGTACATATGCTCTTATTACGTGTTATTTTTAGTTTTAGCCTTAAAATCTGTCTTAGCGTTTAACACTTTTGAATAAATTTCTGGTACATTTCTGTTTGCGTTTCTCTATTTCTCTGGAGCAAATTACGTCATTCGAAAAACGTCACACCCGTGATACCGTCGTTTTTCAGACGACCGCCATATTGTCTGGGTTCTCCTTCAACCTGAAGGTCCGCGGGGCAATATCTCCAGGACACGTCCCTTACACGGAAGGTGGCACGTCACAAAACGCTGACGCCGTGAATAGCGCTTTCACCAGTGGTGACACTTCCACTCAGCGCGACGAAGAAGATCCACCGCCGCCTTATTCGGAATGCGTTTAAACGGTCGACTTTATCCGCCCGCAGATGGTCCCCTTTAGGTGTAGCTTTTTCTATTGGTTTACTAAAATGTTCGCTTTACTCTGATGTACGCGCTTTGTTCATTAAACAGTTCGAATCTAGTTAGTTTTTTTTTATCCCTTATAGAAAAACAGTTCCCTTGATTATCCCCGAAAGAATGAAATTCGGCCAGTAAATTAGAGATCATTTTTAGCAACATATTCATTAAGTAGATATAAAAACGTAACACGAAATAGTACAAATGAAAGGCAGTGTCAGTATTTTCGTATAGATGGCGATGATCTTCCGCGAATGCCCTGTATATTTCCACCACTAACCTGCAATTTGCGATGTCACCACACACGTGACTAGTTTTAGAACATTTAACGAGATCTTGATAACACACTGAAACCTTTCGTATTGAACTGTCAGCGGCCATTTTGGTTTTGGATTAAACAACGGCGCATGTGCATAATGAATGGCCCATTTCAATATTTTTATTTCATAGTCGCCTGTTGCTATGGTTACGGATAGGCTGTCGCCCCGGTAACGAGGTTACCATGGCGACGAACGACTCCCGCGACATGACCGCATTCACCAGATCGAGAGTCCGTAAAACTCATCATCGAGTATGACGGCGGTTGAAGAAAAAACGAAACGAAGTGATTTTTGACTTAGGAAAAATCTCAAAAAGTGCCAATGCAAGTCTTTGCAGCTTGCGCGAAGCATGTACTCACTGAGCCCTGAGCCGATATGCATGTCCTAATAAGTTTTATCGACTGTAAAATTAAAATTTTTGGTTTAGTTCACATATTTGTAATATCTGTGGAACCGAAAATAAGAGCTCACAAATTTCATCGACCGACAGACGTTGCGATCTTCGAAAAAAGTATAATTTGCGGTGAAAAAAAAACCGGTCGAATCGCTCGAACTTAAAACAGTTCCGCTGGGCTTTATATATTAGCGCTGGGCAGCAATTAAAACTACATTTCCGCCGGACTAATTATACCCCGAAAAGCGGCGACATTTTGATAATTGCACGTTTTGTCAGTCGATTATGATACGAGCGCCCGATATCAACGGATTGTTTCACGGAGCGAGGAAATTCGACGAAACGCTATGTTATTATTACGAAATAAAAACTACACGGTGGACTAAAATCTAAGGGCCGATTCTACATGCAAATATGCACACCGTGTCTGAAATAAATTACTATTATTAATATTTGTTGTCTGTTCTATTCCACCATATTCACGCGAAGGTCACTTTGGTTAATTTTATGGATAACATTGTCACCTTTTGTACTAATATTTTTGTATAAGGGAATTGAAATAAAGAAGTTTTATTATTATTATTAATAGTTGTTGTCTGTTCCATTCCACCATATTCACTCGAAGCTCACTTTGGTTAATTTTATGGATTATCATTGTCATCGTTTTTATTTTTGCAGAAGCGATTTGAAATAAGGACGCTTTATTATAATTACTAATATTTGTTGCCTGCCCCTCCCCCTCCCAAAAAAAAGTCACGTCCGGTCGAATTATTTATTGTTTTAGTCGCAGCGCATGGACTGCATGGGGTTCGACGATGCGAGACGTTCTTCTGCTCCTTGAATTAACTCCGAAAATATCGGCAATAAAACCGAAACGTCGCGCCGTGGTGCCTTTAAAAACTTAAATAAATTAGGTGACAAAACGGCTTTGTTCTGCTCCTTGCAACGTAGATATTTATACATCCTGTCCGTGCGGTCAAATAACCACAAATCACTTAATTTGTCGGTGCTTGTCCGGTTCACGTGGGTGTGTTTTATCGCCGCAATATGATAATCGTGCCCGCTCGCATATACGAATCCGAAGAAGGCCCGTATATTAAGTTTCGCTAGACGCGGGTGCGTTATCCTGTCCGAAGCCTCGGACGTGTCGCCTCTGACCAAACGTTCGCAGTACCGCAATCGAGCTTCGCAAAATATCCGCCAGAGGCGCCACTAAAACAACCCCCACATGCCCGTTCTGTCATTTTTTCTGTCCTGTATTGTTTGTTCTCACTGGTGATTAATTACTAACGCAGGCCAACCATAACCGGATTAAAAAATCAAAATTAAGTCTCAAATCATCTATTTTTGGAAGATCTCACCATCACAAAATCTTGATCTTCCATTACTATAGTTTTTGTATTTGTGTTTTCATGTGCGCAGAATGAGCAACAGGTACAGAAGCGCGAACATTTCAGTTGTGCAAAGGGACAGCTTCAAGGCCCCTCTTGGATGAGTCCGTTAAAAATCTCCGGTCCTCAGAACTGTAGTCGGTGCTGAGTTTCTTCATTGTTCTGAGATATGAAAATTGTGCTAGAAAAGTTTTATTCCGAATTTTAGATGTCACAATTTCGGAAACACCCTTAAGTAAACCTAAGTCATTAAGTTTTGACTGTGAAAATAACTGTGTGTCCCTATTTCAGGTTCAAAAAAACTGGTGGTATCTTCTTCTAAGTTGGCTGGGCCTAATTGCTGACTTGTTGTTTTTCAATGTATTTCATAATTTCCAATGTTTTGTGATTTTTAGTAAGGAAATATAGAATAGAGAATTATATGCGTTTTGATCGTCAATTTTTACTTAATAAGCGTAGTACTTTTCAAACAAGGGGTAATTTGGGTCTAAATTTCTTGGCCACACACATCGTTACTCCGCTTTTTTGAGCTTATGGTTAAAATGGCGGATCGGCGCAAGTCTTTAACTGCAAAAGAAAACATAGAGGTTATGGACAGTGGCATCGGTGAGGCGGAAATTGCTAGACAAAAGAAATGGGCAAAAACAACAATTTGGAGTAATCCCGAGAAGAACAAGGAAGCAAGCGACTGTATATCGTACTGGATTAAAAAGATTAGAAATCCTGTACGTTCAGATGAAGATAAAGCTCTTTTATGATCATTTCAAGTTAGAAGATCCGAAAATATTGCAATAAGTGGTCCAGTTCTAAAATCGAAAGCCGAAGAATTAGCCCGGGGCATTACAGGGTGAGGATTTTAGGTGTTCTGCAGGTTGGTTGGTGAAGCAGGAGATGTTAACAAACAAGCTGTGCTGAACTGGTTAGAGGGTAAGTGGCCCAGTATTGCACAAAATTACAGCTCTGAGGATATTTTCACTGGTGACGAGACTGTGCTTTACAGGATGACTCCAGATCGCACCCTGAAATTTAGAAGTGAGTGGGAAGCAGTCAAAGTTGAGGTGCGCCGTTTGGGTTTGTGCAAATATGACAGGAAGCCAAAAATGCCCACTTCTTGTTATTGATAAATATGAACGATCGGGATGCATGAAAGATGTGAAAAATCTACCTGTCATTTATAAGTCAAACCAGAGAGCGTGGAGTTTTTGCCTCCAGACAACACCTCAGTCGTGCAACCGATGGATCAGGGCATAATAAAATGCCTTAAGATATATTACCGCAGATATTTTTTTCAACATCACTATCCTGGACTCCATAAAATTACTTGCACAAAGTTGGGATGATGTTACTTCGACCACTATTTCAAACTGCTTTCGAGAGGTAAAAAAATAATGACGTCGATGACTGGGAGGTTCTCCTAAGTAGTTGGTTGCTCAATAGCGGCCAAGATCTAACCAACACTGAGGAGGTCGAAACCCAGATTGCGTGTGAAGATTTTGTTATCGCATTATTAGTTTTCTATTTTTATACAAAGTAAAGATATGTACGTACCTACATTATGTCTTTGTGTTTTTTTTATAGCGTACTTCCGCTTATGAGTTCTCGTCCCCAGAGGGTACTTGATAACCGGAGTTCACTGTATATGTATTTGAAATGGGCCAATACAAAAAAAAATTGGGACAACTACCCCCGTTTTCTTTAGCCTAAAATAAGGTATATTAAATTGACGCTCTGGTAACGAAAGCGACGATGATGTTCAATTGGTTTACAATCTCCCGATAATGTAACTGTTGATATTATGCAAGCGTATTGAGAAAAACTAAACAAACAAAAAGAAAAAAGCACATATGTATTTTTACCTGTATTTTGTAAAGTTTATATAGATAGAAAAGTTTTTACTTTAGGTAGTTTAGTTTCTTTCGTTTTTTAGTACCCATATTAGTGTTTATTAGTTTTATATTTTTGTATTAAATCTCTATCTATCGACATAATTCTTTTGTGTTTTTTTTATAGCGTACTTCCGCGTATGGAGTACTTATTTTCTGATTCCTAGAGGGTACTTTATAAACGGAGCCACCCTGTATACTTTATAATCATGATATTTTACTCCCTGTACCTTTTTGGTTAAACGAATAAATAAATAAAATAAATAAATGACGTCCCTTTTTGAAGCAAAAGGCCCACGAGAGACCACCTTGTCGGCCACTCTTCGGACGCGTATTCCAGAAGCGCGATCGATCACATTCGAGCCGGGACGTTTCGACATCACAACATATCCGTCATCCGGGCGAAAATAAACGCCGATTCGCAACGGCGCGGATTAAAAAGGCGCGCATTTGCATTTTTAAACCGAAGTTGATTCATTGGCGAATTAAGAAAAGTTATAATGCGTATCGCTGCGTCGTTGGACTCGTATATTTGGACCACCTGCCTGATAATGCACCTTTCCGTGTCTAATGATCGTTTTGCCGTCGTATAATACGCGATAAGGCCCGAGAGACAATTGATATATAATTTGACCTCTCGTGGGTTTAAGGCAATCGTAGTGATTAGGGCGTGCATTCAATTCACGCAATGCGAACCGAAAACGCCATCTGACGCTATCCCGAGGGATCGCAGTGCAATTGCAATTTGAATTGATACGCGTTTTCGTTTCCTTAGCGAACCCGGAACGATAGCGATAGTATCGGGACTAACTCCAATCTCCTAAGGTTAACGGACATCATTTTGCACATTATGTACCGGGTGGCCCATATCTAGGACCGTTAGAAAAAAAAAATTATAGGTAAATCGGTAAAGAGGAAAAGCTGGCAATTATTTTCAGGTTCATAAAATGGTCGCTAGCGGGAGTGACATCTACTGTAAAATAGAAAAAACGGGTGTTTTACATTATTTGAAGTATTTTTTTTCTATCTCGTCAAATTAAGGGTTGGGGAAGTGTCAAATATTG